ACAAAGTAAAACAAGATTGTTATTTTAACCTGTGGTTAAACAGCATTTACAATCAGTCATCTGTTAACACAGCTATTATAATGATTAGGAAAAAGGGCTGCATGGTCTTTAAAAAGCAACTTGGCTAGGCTGGGCATGGTGGCTCATGCCTATAATCCCAGCACTTTGGGAGGCCAAGGTGGGTGGATCACCTGAGGTCAGGAGTTTGAGACCAGACCAATATGGCAAAACCCTGTCTCTACTAAAAATACAAAAATTAGCTGGGTGTGGTGGTGCACACCTGTAACCCCAGCTACTTGGGAGGCTGAGGCAGGAGAATCGCTTGAACCTGGGAGGTGGAGGTTGTAGTGAGCTGAGATCGTGCCACTGCACTCTAGCCTGGTGACAGAGGAAGACTCTGTCTCAAAAAAGAAAAAAAAAATTAATAGGACATGAAACCAAAGTGATAAAGATGAATGAGAAAGTAAAGAGAAATTATCCTGACATTGAGAAGTAAAGAGTAACAAAAAAAAGTTTCAATCATAAGAACAGTAATTCATTAAGAGGAAGAGAATAATCATTTCACACTGTATACATATATGAAAACATGTACACATTAAATATACATAATTTTGTCAATTATATCTCAATAAAGCTGGAAAGAGGAAGAGATAAATTGCAAATTAAAGTAATAAATAGGCTATTAAACTGATAATTTGTGAATTATATAAACTCATTGAAAAATATTCAAATTTCTTTCTGATTTGATCTCACACTAGCATTGAGGAAGATGACATAAAACTCACAATACATGATTACAATGAGTACATTGATGACAAATGAGTGACTTCAATTCAAAAACTACATAAGATTAATAACTGTGTAAGAAAAGGCCAGGTGTGGTGACTCACGCCTATAATCCCAGCACTTTGAGAGGCCGAGGCTGGTGGATCACCTGAAGTCAGGAGTTCGAGACTGGCCTGGCCAACATGGCGAAACCCCATCTCTATTAAAAATACAAAAATTAGATGGGCATAGTGACGCATGCCTGTAATCTCAGCTACTCAGGAGGTTGAGGCAGGAGAATCACTTGAACCTGGGAGGTGGAGGTTGCAGTGAGCCGAGAGTGCAGACAGAGCAAGACTCCATCTCAAAAAATAAAATAAAATAAAATGCAGAATGTCACGAAATGCCTATGTTAAGAGGATGTTTGATAGAGTTTTCTGAAATTTGACAAAAATACTAAACATATATATATATAACCAATAATGAACTGTGCAGGTGAAAAATAACTTTTCTGAATTATCACTAATAAAAAGCAAATACTGATCAAACACACTAGCTAAAAAACTAAATTATCTTTCTATTCTCTTTAGAAAATATGATAAACTATCATCATATGAACAGATGATTAAACAGTATATAGCCATATAATGTAAGGGGAAAAAAGTATGAAGAAGTATGCCTGGCGGTTACTTAACAAAAATGTTACTTTAAATTTTTGCATTATTTGTAATATTTTTCTTTCTTTTTTTTTTTTTTTTTAGACGGAGTCTCGCTCTGTCGCACAGGCTGGAGTGCAGTGGCAGCAATCTCGGCTCACTGCAAGCTCCGCCTGCCGGGTTCACGCCATTCTCCTGCCTCAGCCTCCCGAGTGGCTGGGACTACGGGCGCCGCCACCTTGCCCGGCTAGTTTTTTGTATTTTTTAGTAGAGACGGGGTTTCACCATGTTAGCCAGGATGGTCTCGATCTTCTGACCTCGTGATCCGCCCGTCTCGGCCTCCGAAAGTGCTGGGATTACAGGCTTCAGCCACCGCACCCGGCCTATATTTTTCAACTTTTAAAAATGTATAATGTTGTATTTTGTTTTAGTCTAAATACATATTCAGTTGTGTACCTACTTTTGTATCTAAAATTATTATTCTTTTTCTTAAAGAACCCCCACTCGCCAAATGCACATAAATTTCAGGCCCCACAAAATTTGAATCTGCCCCTGTTAGCTACTTTTCTCTCCACCTAATTGGTCTACCCTTACCCATACTTGTCCTCTTCCAATCTGTTCTTCATGACACAGTCTAAAGGATCTTCTAAAAGTTCATGTATGATTATATTTCTCTTACATTCTTTCAGTAATTTCCAATTAGCCTTACTATAAAAACCCAAGTCCTTAAAATAGGATCTGGGTCTTCACCACCTCTCTCCCTCTGCTCTAACCACACTGGCTTCTTCTAGTTATTGCAAGGCACCAGCTCAGGACCTTTGCATATGCTGTACTCTGTGCCTAGGAGACATTTCACCCAATACTCCATTAACAAATTATCTCCTACTCAAACTTCAGATTTCACTCAAAGATCACTTCCTCAGGGCACCTCAGACTAAGTGAGCCTCCCATCACCTTAAATGCTCACTGCACCCTTTACTTTTCCTTCATAGCATGTCTATTTGTAATCATATACAAGATACAAGATTAGATTGTCAATCTCTCTGCCATTAGACTGCAAATTCCATGAACGAGGGACAACGTCTCTTCGGCACTAGTGTAGCAGTGTTACCGGAAAGGGATCCTGATCCAGATACCAAGAAAGGGTTCTTGGATCTCAGGCAAGGAAGAATTCAGGACAAGACCATAGAGTAAAGTGAAAGCAAGTTTATTAAGAAAGTAGAGGAATAAAATAATGCCTACTCCATAGGCAGAGCAGCCCGAGGCTCCTGGTTGCCCATTTTTATGGTTATTTCTTGATGATATGCTAAACAAGGGATGGATTATTCATGCCTCCCCTTTTTAGACCATAGAGGGTACCATCCTGACATTCCCATGGCATTTGTAAACTATTATGGTGCTGGTGGGAGTTTAGCAGTGAGGACGGCCAGAGGTCACTTTCATCACCCTCTTGGTTTTGGTGGGTTTTAGCCCGCTTTTTTACTGCTACCTGTTTCATCAGTAAGATCTTTATGACCTGCATCCTGTATCTTGTATCTTTATGACCTCCTATCTCATCCTGTGACTTAGAATGCATAACCATCTGGGAATGCAGCACAGCAGGCCTCAACCTTATTTTACCCAGCCCCTATTCAAGATGGAATTGCTTTGGTTCAATCGCCTCTGACAGCCAGCATCCTGAACAAAGTGGTCAACTAATTAGACAGTTTCTGGCCTCAAACAGTTTATAATCTAACCTTGAAAAAAAAAAAAGAAAAGAAACAATTTTACAATTTGGGACATCAATACAGATGAAATAGATTCTTTTTTTGTGTAAGAAAGTCTTCCTGGAAGTCTTGAAACCTGACTACCTAAGGATTAGTTATTCTAACTAGCTTGAAAAATTGGCCTAGGCCAAGGTTGTAACCAAGTATTCTGGTTGTCTAGGAACTGCTGTGGCCATATTTCCGGCATAATTGTTTCTTGCAGAAAAACGACTCAATTTTTTTAAAGCTTCTTTTGCCTTCTGTAGGCTTACTTAAAAACAAACAAACAAACAAACAAACAAACAGTATTAAGATCCTTTTGTGGTTCATAAGCCTGATGATTGGGTTTTCACGCTATTGTGTGAGTTAACGACCCCTACCTCAACCCGTACCTCAAACCTTGTTAGGACTCAGCACATTACCCCTCTGCGGTGAAAAAAATAAAGTAATAAAGGTAATTCTTTTTTTTTTTTTTTTTTTTTGCATAAGCCTTATCCTTGTACACATGAGGTTTCAAAGTGTTTCCATCATTATTTTTACCTTATAGTATAGTGTTTTCATGAGTTTCTGTATTTTTATTTATTTATTATTATATTTTAAGTTCTGGGATAGTTTTCACGAGTTTTAAGAGGTTCTTCTTGGCAAACAGATCAACTCAGAGAAAATACTTTTACCAGCAAGGAGGTTATACCCTGTTATATTGGTCTGGGGACATAACTTGACAGTTCACCTTGCCAGGAAGATCTCTGTGATTTTTTGTTTGTTTGCTTTGAGACAGAGTCTCGCTCTGTTCCTGAGGCCTGAGTGCAGAGGCTCACTGCAAGCTCCGCCTCCCGGATTCAAGCCATTCTCGTGCCTCAGCCTCCCGAGTAGCTGGGATTACAGGTGCGTGCCACCATGACCGGCTAATTTTCGTATTTTAGTAGAGACGGGGTTTCGCCATGTTGGCCAGGCTGGTCTCAAACTCCTGACCTCAGGTCATACACACACCTCAGCCTCCCAAAGTGCTGGGATTACAGGCGTCAGTCACCGCGCCCGATCAGATCTGTTTTTATAGACGTCAGGAGAGGGGCAAAGTAAAATTGTTCCAGAGCGGCCACAGAAATATCTGGAACTAGTTTCAAGGGCTATTCCCCGCTAAAGATTACTTAATAATGCAGTTGGATGACCATGTTTCAAGATTTTTGTTCGATCTGCACAACCTCCAAAATGTTCCAAGAGGGTGTTTAAAAAGTCAGCAAGGACCATTAGGATCAGGACATCCCTAAATTGTTTGAAACTACGATGTCAGCTGAGGAAAGCAGAACATAACCAGGCTTTGGAGTTAAGAGAGCAGGCTTTCGAGCTAAGAGAGCTGAACTGGAATCCAGTTCCAAATTTAATGGCTGAGCCAAATGAGAATGTTAAGACTTATTTCACAAGTTGTAGAGAAAATAAAAAACGATTAAACATCCGGGCCTTGAGAAGTGCCCGTCGACTTGGAGATTAAATATGGTAGAGTCCACTTTCCTCACCAGCTGATAATAGTATCTGTTAAGTACAGTCCTCTTTTCCCTTCCTTAATCGGTTGCTTAGTATTTGCCTACTCTTTCCTGCTTTTCATCTTCTCTTCCCCCAATTTAAATCTTTCCACCAAGCGCTCAGAAACAGGTCCTACCAGAACGCAACCCGAGCGTGCGCGTGAGGTGTGCACGGGTCTCCACCTTTTCCCCGTTCTCCGCCCTTTTTCCGGTTCTCCGCCCCTTTTCTGCCACTGCCTGGTGCCTCCCTCCCGGCTGCGCCTGTCCGCGGCCCCGCCCACGCCGACCGTCACGTGACCGTTCTGCGTGCTCCGCCCCCTGTCCCCGGCTCACGTGATCGCGCCTAGGGAGAAAACGCCTGACCCCAGCCACCGGCCTTCAAGGCACGGCTTTTTCTTCCTTCGGCTGGTTGGCCTCTCGCCCTTCAGCTACCTGTGCGTCCCTCCGTCCCGTCCCGGGGTCACCCCGGAGTCTGTCCGCCATGCAGCTTCTGCCTCTAGCCCCAGGTCGGCTCCGGCAGGGCAGCCCCCGCCACCTGCCCTCCTGCAGCCCAGCGCTGCTGCTACTGGTGCTGGGCAGCTGCCTGGGGGTCTTCGGGGTGGCGGCGGGAACCCGGAGGCCCAACGTGGTGCTGCTCCTCACGGACGACCAGGACGAAGTGCTCGGCGGCATGGTAACTCTTCTGTTTCTGCCCCGCCCCTCTATCTCTGGGGCTGACTCCCCGGTTTCTTGCTCTGTTTCCCGGTCCCCATCCCCCCTCCCCGAGCTGGCTGGCTTATCCCTGGGTAGGTTTGGTTTTCCTACCTGAGGCCCTTTATGCCAGTGTTAGGGACTGCAACACTCTTCCCTTCTGGATTGAGGCACTTGCGTACAGCACACACAGCTTCTAGTCTGGACCGTACTGCTGTGGAGTTTACGTTAATATGTCAAGATAAACATGTAGAGATCAGTGGAGGATGGGTTGAACCAATGAGGATCAGGTGCTGGCTAAAAGCACTCAAGCCCCGATTGTTTTTCTTTTGGATTAGAGGATCAAAGACAAGTCCAGTCCCCTTTATGAGGGACCTAGACCACCTCCACATTTGTGCCTGTATACAATGTCTGTATCTGATGTCTATAAAAATAAGACTGGGCCGGGCGCGGTGGCTCACTCATGTAATCCCAGCTCTTTGGGAGGCCCAGGCTGGCGGATCACAAGGTCAAGAGATCTAGACCATCCTGGCTAACATGGTGAAACCCCGTCCCTACTAGAAATACAAAAATTAGCTGGGCGTGGTGGCGCGCACCTGTAGTCCCAGCTACTTGGGTGGCTGAGGAAGGAGAATCGCTTGAACCCGGGAGGCGGAAGTTGCAGTGAGCCGAGATGGGGCCACTGCACTCCAGCCTGGAGAAAACGAGAAAAAAAAAAAAAAAAAAAAAAAAAAAAAAAAAAAAAATGCCTGAGGTGAACTAATCTGGTAGGCCGACCGTCGACCTATTGAGGGTGTGTTTTGCCTCACAAGAATCAAGAAAATTCAATTAGTTTGATTGAACACCTGACTGTTGCATTAGAGACTGTCAGTGTTTCATTTTCTATCTAATGGGTGTTGTCACAAGACTTCTTTTTTTTTTTTTTTTTCCCCCCAGAGTTAATTTTGCTTGTGTATTGCAGAATTCTGGAATCTGTGACCTTTGGAAACATCCACTCCAACCCCTGCCCCATGGAGGTCCAGAAAGCAGCTTGCCCAAGACATGAGTAGTTGAGGCAGAATCCTCTAACCCTGGGTTCAGCATTCCTCTCTTCGCTTTAAAACCAAATATTTTATTGCTTTATTCGTTTCAGTTCTCTTTTTGCTTTCAGCTGAATGCTGAGACTATGAAATACTCCAGGCAAGACGTTCCTAACTTTTCTTGTATAGTTACACACCCTCGCTCAGTGTCCTTCAAACCCGTGGTCCCAACCCGTGAGTGAGTTGTGAAATCAGTTTAGTGACTACCAACGTTTTTTATTTCCTCTGGAATAGAGTAGAATAGAAAACGTCTGTGTGTGTGAGTGTGTGTGTTACACTTGATAAAGGTAATCATTATCTTTCTTCCCGAGTTGTAAAATACATTTCTTAGGTTGTGCTCAAGAGCTTGAGTCTTTTATAGCTGATGTTTCAGATGCTCGCATTTTGATTACACACTTCTTCCTGCCATATATGCTTCATTGTCTGTCAGTTTCTACCAAGCCATGTTGACATCAGTCTTGATTTAATTTTCCTCTTACACTTTAGTTTCACTACTCTTCCAACTACTGCACTTACTTGTCTGCTCACAGCATTCCTTTTTTATTTAAACAACAAAAAAAAATTGTGTCCTGAAGAGTGTTTTGTCCAGAAAAAGCAAGCCTTCTCTAGCAGTGACTACAGTACTCAGTTAAAAGGTCAGGCTTTTTTAGGTGTTGAAAACAAAATTCTTTACTTAAATATGAGGTATTCAGAGCTCAGTTTCTTCAATTCTTATAAACCACGGCTGTAGTCTGTGTGTATTTGAGGTCTCTTCCTTTTAGTATGTTAATCCAATTTGCTTCGTTAAGCCAGCAGCAGATTTTTTGAGTCAGGGTCTTGCTCTGTTATCCAGGCTGGAGTGCAGTGGTATAATCAAGGCTCATTGCAGCCTTGAACTCCTAGTCTCAAGCAGTCTTCCTGCCTCAGTCTCCCTAGTGGCTGGAACTACAGGCACACGTCACCACGTCCAGCTAATTTTTAAATATTTTGTAGAGACAGGATTTCTCCAGGTTGCCCAAGCCGGTCTTGAACTCCTGGACTCAAGTAATCCCCCCACCTCAACCTCCCAAAGTGCTGGGATTACAGGCATGAGCCATTGTCTCGGCCGAGATTCTTTTTTTTAAATAAGTTTTTCTACTGGAGAGAGGTACCAAAATTGAGTGGAGGAGATAAGTCAAATTTAATGTTCCCAACTCAATAATTCTGGATTCTCTTCTAGCCTTTTTCAGAATATTCTACCACTAATTGTCAAACAGGACTCCAACGGGAAGAGCTAAGACAAGAGCATTTGAGAACTTACTTGGAGCTGAGCAGAGCATGAGGATTTTTATACTTGTGCTTCAGTCATCACGGGAGTCCTCTACTGTACATAGTATCCTTACCTTAAAAGGAAACTAAAACTGTAAGGTGGTTAAGTGACATGACTAAGGTTCACATAGCTAATACTGGACAAAGCCTGGGTATCTTATGATCTCAGAGTACCATGCTTTTTCTCCGATTCTAGAATACTGTGATGATAATCAGATTTCATCCCACATACCCACACCAGCATAATCACACCATAGGTCAGTGAGTCTGCAGGTGACATTCGGAGATGCCAGTGACATCATGGAACTCCTTAATTTACATGTAAAACTTTGTATATAATATCTTCATTTTTGGGGAACGAGAGCTCTAACCTAAAAAAGATTGCGGATTGCTGCCATAGTTGGCAAAATAAACAGTGGTCAACCCCTACCAGACTAACTCAGGTCAAAGGATTGTAGATAGTGCTTACAACATGATTTAGATTTATAGTGGAATTTTTCAGGCATCTTTGAAATGTTCTTTTATATAGTAGCATCATCTTTAACATTTCATTGTATTTGTTCCAGGTATCTGTGGGACTCTGTTTTTATTTTTTATTTTGCCAGGACACTGTTCTTGCCACTTTCTTGATTTTACTTAAACATCATTATAGTGTGGTGGACACACTGTTCTTCACAGAAGCATAAGTTGCTCTTTTAAAAATCATTCACGGCTGGGCGTGGTGGCTCACCCCTATAATCCTAGCACTTTGGGAGGCCAAGGTGGGCAGATCACGAGGTCAGGAGTTCAAGACCAGCCTGGCCAGCATGGTGAAACCCCGTCTCTACTAAAAATACAAAAATTAGCCAGGCATGGTGGCATGTGCCTGTAGTCCCAGCTACTCGGGAGGCTGAGGCGGGAGAATCACTTGAACCCAGGAGGTGGAGGTTGCAGTGGGCCAAGATTGTGCCACTGCACTCCCGCCTGGGTGACAGAGCAAGACTCCGTCTCAAAAAAAAAATCATTTAAGAAAAGTGACATTGGTCTGGCGCGGTGACTCACACCTGTAATCCTAGCACTTTGGGAGGCGGAGGTGGGCAGATCACGAGGTCAGGAGATCGAGACCATCCTGGCGAACACGGTGAAACCCCGTCTCTACTAAAAATACAAAAAAATTAGCCAGGCGTGAGTGGCGCGGGTACCTGTAGTCCCAGCTACTCGGGAGGCTGAGGCAGGAGAATGGCGTGAACCCGGGAGGCGGAGCTTATGATGAGCCGAGATCGCTGCACTACTCCAGCCTGGGCAACAGAGCGAGACTCTGTCTCAAAAAAAAAAAAAAAAAAAAAAAGAAAAAGTGACATTTGGCTGAGCAAGTGTTGGAAGAAACTATAATAAAGGTAGGGGAAGAAATTTTTTTTGTTTTTTTTTTTTTGAGATGGAGTCACTGTCACCAAGGTGGAGTGCTGATATCTCAATTTTTTTTTGAGATGGAGTCTTGCACTGTCACCCAGGTTGGAGTGCAGTGGCGCCATCTCAGCCCACTGCAACCTCCGTCTCCCACGTTCAAGTGATTCCCCTGTCTCAGCCTCCGAAGTAGCTGGGTTTACAGGCACCCACCACCATGCCCGGCTAATTTTTGTATTTCTGGTAGAGATGGGGTTTCACCATTGGCCAGGCTGGTCTCAAACTCCTGACCTCAAGTGATCTGCCAACTTAAGCCTCCCAAAGTGGTGGGATTACAGGTGTGAGCCACTGTGCCGGGCTGGGGAAGAATAAATATGTCATTGCTTCATTGAAAGCAAAACAATTTCCATTTTTAGCCACAGAATTATCAGAATTATCGTTTCAGAACAACTATACATGGAACCAGAAAAGTAAATGATTCTTTAAGGTTTTAATGAAAAGGATTCTGCTTGGGGTGAGCAGAGAAACATGTTTGCCCACATGAGGACATGAAATTGGCTACTGCTTAAAGACTCTTGCGTGACCTTAACTTGATCAGCCTCTGTCTTTGCCTAGATCTTAAGGATTCATTTTTCTTTCTAGTTTGCATAGAGAGACATACACATTTTGGGTATAGTATGGTTTCTTGTTTGGGACTTTTTCAATTAAGCACAGATGATTATTATCTTTTGTACTATTGTTAGCAGTATAAAGATGACAGTTAATAACTTTTTTTTGAGACAAGGTCTCACTCTTCTTGCCTAGGCTAGATTGCAGTGGTGCAGTCATAGCTCACTGTAGCCTCGAACTTCCGGGCACAAGCAATCCTCCCACCTCAGCCTCCCAAGTAACTGGGACTATGGGCACGCACTACCATGCCCAGCTAATTTTTGTATTTTTCATAGAGCCAGGGTCTTGCTATGTTGCCCAGGCTGGTCTCAAACTCCTGGCCTCAAGCAGTCCTCCTGCCTCTGCCTTCTAAAGTGCTGGCTGGGATAACAGACGTGAGCCACTGCACCGGGCCTAAAGTCTAAATTCCTATACGGCCCTGCATCACTGACTCCTGCCTACCTCTCTGACCTCATCTTACCTCACTCTCCCTTCTCCTCAGTAAGCTGCTTCCATCACCACACTGGCTTCTCTGTTTCCTCCCAGGTGCCTCTCTCCTTCCTCTGGCAGCCCTTGTATTGCTATATACCCAGCCTGAAACATCTTCTGAATCTTTGCGTGACTGACTCCTCATCGCATGGCTCTCCGTACAAGTTACCTCCTGAAAGAGAGGCCTTTCCTGACCACCCAACTAAAGTAGTTCCCGTTTCCTCCCACCAGCTGCAATCACATCATCCTGGTTTATTCTCTTCACAGCACTTATCACCACCTGAAATGACTGATTGTTTACCTGTTAGTTGTTTTAAGTCCCCAAGAGTGCAGGGATCATGAGGGCAAGGACTATCCTCTGTCCACCACTGCCTAGATTAATGCCTGACACACGTTGTGTTTAATAAATGTTATTACACAATATTACCGTAAATCAGATATTCTTTCAAAGTTTTACATATTTATCAGTTTGACAATTAAGTCCTATACGGTCAACTCTGGTCCTTTTCTCCACTTACTCCTTGAATCTTCATTTCATCTTCGAATGTCCTCATAGTAACTCAGGTTTTTTTTTTTAATCAAGCCAGTGTCTCATTAAGCCCAGTATTCTTTTCCTGAGGGTGGTACCCAGTGATGGCTTTGAGGAGAGTATGGTTGATGACTTTGCTTCGGAAGGTTGGCGAAGATCTTCTGCATCTCTGGCGTCTCTTGGCAGCCTCTTCTGAATCTACTCATGAAATTATCAGAGCTTTTTTTGGATAAGTTAGAATCCTCATCCTTTTGAGTTTATGGATTCCATAGGTTTTGTATTTATATAAAACAATGGGGAAAAGTCATTTATACATTATTAAAAATGAGGCTCCTGTTAACCTACTTATATATTTAGATTAGAAATCTTTAAGGAATTGTTTCACAACAAAATATACTTAAAACTGCATTCAGTATGGTCTTAGGTTTCAAAGGTATCTCAGAATCATCGTGAACTGACTCATATTACAACTAAAATGACCTCTTACAATGGTGCTTTTTGTTGTCTGGAATCTGAAGAATATTAGTATTCCTTTTATTTGTATTTAAATGACTGTCTTCTTATGTTTGTCCTCACTCTAGGGGGAACTTAATTGTCTCTGTACTTGTAAGGATCTTAGATTTTGAACAAAAGATGAAAAGCAGGACATAAAGTAGTTTCTGAGTAGCCTTTTGCCTGACAGTGTTCTGTGTACACCTGCTTACCACCTGGTTCAAGTTCTTATCCTGAGGTGCTGGTGGGTCTATGCAGACAACAGTAGCTGGTAGTTGAACAGTGTGCATCTGACCTCCACCACTGAGTGTGTGAGGTTTGAATCAGTCTCTGAGCCCTGAGGCCTTGTCTGGCTTTCAGAATCCAACTGTTGTCTTACTTCTGTTCTATAGGGCGGAAGGTTCCCTTTGTATATCATTTCCCACATCCTACTTCTTTTTTTTTTTTTTCTTTTTGAGACAGAGTCTCACTCTGCCGCCCAGGCTGGAGTGCAGTGGCCGGCCTACTTCTAAAGATTAATTCATGGAAATAGGTCTGCCCTATCTGCCTTATATGGGGGCAGATGACTAATAAGGGCACAAAGATATTACTGCCATTGACTGAACTTTCCCTTCCTGCAAGCATTTTGACCTCCTGCACTTTTACACAGGATAGAGCTGGCTGGAACCAAACCTGTCTCTAGAATCATACAGGACTGTCTTTGGCTGTTGCTTAGAGCTGACCATTTGAGAATAAAAGATTGAGTAAGATGTAACCAAACAGGAATTCTGGCCTGTGTGTCTCAATTTATTGGAAGAAATTGTTTAATGGATAATTACTTACTTTTACAGACACCACTGAAGAAAACCAAAGCTCTCATCGGAGAGATGGGGATGACTTTTTCCAGTGCTGTAAGTTTGAAAGCTAATTCAATTTTGTTAATTTAACTGTTTGTATTCTAAGAAGAAACACTCTTCTCGAGAATCTGGTATGATCTATGTGGTTTTTTCCTTGTTAAATGCCTGATTTGAAGGATTTATTTAATGTGATATAAACTCTTTTCATTGAAATATTACCTCTTGTCAATTGAAGATGAATTGCAGATATTTCTAAGCCAGTCTCAGAACTAGAGAATTTTATTTTAAACCTTACCATTTGAGGTTTGAAAATGGATTATAAAAAAATCAAGATATATGTATGCTGTGTAAACTTTTCCAGGGTAAAAACCCAATTAACCCTGATAGCCAAAACTGACAAATAGCAACACACACACCCCAAAAATATAGATGCAGAAATTCAAAATAAAGTATCAATTCATTTTCAAGAACCATGTACATAACCAAGTGAATGGTAGTCTAGGAATGTAAGGGTAGCTTACTATCAGGAAATCCCTTGAATAGTAGCACAGTGTTAAGTTTAAGTGCTCAGACTCTGGAGCCGGACCGCCTAGTCTGGAATACCCTCTCTGCCTCTTTTCTAGCAGTGTGACCTTGGACAAACTAACCTCTCTGGCCCGTTTCCTCCCCATTTATAAAAGGGAGTACCAAAATCATCTTCAGAGTTGTTGTGAGGTTGAGTTAATAGGTGTAGAGCACTTCTGTCAGTGCCTGACTTCTTTTTTTCTTTTTCTTTTTTTTTTTTTGAGATGGAGTCTCGCTTTGTCGCCCAGGCTGGAGTGCAGTGGCGTGATCTCGACTCACTGCAACCTCCACCTCCCGGGGTCAAGCAATTCTCCTGCCTCAGCCCTCTGGGTAGCTGAGATTACAGGCACCCACCACCATGCCCTGCTAATTTTTTGTATTTTTAGTAGAGATGGGGTTTCACCATGTTAGCCAGGCTGGTCTTGAACTCCTGACCTCAAGTGATCTGCCCTCCTTGGCCTCCCAAAGTGCTGGGATTACAGGCATGAGCTACCTTGCCCTAGCCAATGCTTGAGTTCTTTTTTTTTTTTTTTTTTTGAAGCAGAGTCTCACCCTGTCACCCAGGCTGGAGTGCAATGGCACGATCTCAGCTCACTGCAAGCTCCGCCTCCCAGGTTCATGCCACTCTCCTGCCTCAGCCTCCCAAGTAGCTGGGACTACAGGCGCCTGCCACCACACCCGGCCAACTTTTTGTATTTTTTTTAGTAGAGATGGTGTTTCACTGTGTTAGCCAGGGTGATCTCGATCTCCTGACCTCGTGGCCTCCCAGAGTGCTGGGATTACAGGCATGGGCCATTGCGCCCGGCCAATGCCTGACTTCTTATAGTATATACTACATGGTGTTGCTTGTTATATATCTACCAACATGATACAAGTAACTGAAAGAAGGAAAATTTAATGTTCTTCCCAATAGATACTAGAAAATACTCTGAAATTTTAGCATTCTTTCCTGGTAATGTATTAAGCTATTATAAGAATACATCCTGACTATGATGACTATTTCAAATACATAAGGTAAAAGACTTAGGGCATTGCGGTTAGGGATGAAACAAGTGCTCCATTTAATGTTGTCCCGACTATCTAGTCATTGTCATAAGTCTTATGGAAATAAGAGGTAAAAATATTGGAAAAATTATTTCTGATTGTTTGGATTTTCTATCTAGGAACACAGGAGAATTATTGAAAACCGTTTAAAATCACTAGAATTCAAGATAAAAATGAAAAAATGAATTTTTTTTTCTTCCATGTAATCAGTTAGAAAAATAGAAGGTGGGAGACAAAGAAAATATTCATAATTGTTTATTTTTATTTTATATAAAGGTAGAGAAAAGGTCTCACTCACTATGTAGCCCAGTCTGGTCTGGAACCCCTGAGCTCAAGTGATCCTCCCATCTCGGCCTCCCAAAGTGCTGGGATTACAGGTGTGAACCACCATGCCCGACCTCATTTATAATTTATAAACTCTCTAAGAGTAACTGGTTGGGGCCAGAAATGGCTATGACCTGTGTAAGTTACAAAATGATGAGAGTGGTAAGATAAAAAATATTTGATACATAGATATGCACATCATTTTATATACATTTCTTTTCCTTTTTTTTTTTTTGAGACAGGGTCTCACTCTGTCGCCCATGTTGGAGTGCAGTGGCATAGCTCACTGAAGACCTGAACTCAAACTCCTGGGTTCAGACAATCCTCCCGCCTCAGCTTCCCAAGTAACTGGGACTACAGGCATGCATCACCACACTCGCCTAATTTTTTTCCACTTTATTTTGGAGATAGGGTCTTGCTCTATTGCTCAGGCTGATCTCAAACTCCTGGCCTCGAGTAATCCTCTGCTTCAGCTTCCCAAATAGCTGGGATTACAGGTGTGAGCCACTGTGCTCAACTAAGACACAATATTATATAATAAAATGTTTATTCTAGTTGTAATCTTAACAAGATTGTTTTAGACTCAAATGATTCCAAAAGTTATCTGGAATAATAAATAGATGAGAATAATCAAAGTAATTTAAAAAAAAATTACAGTGGCTGTATAATCCTAGCACGTTAGGAGGCTGAGGCAGGTGGATTGTTTGAGCTCAGGAGTTTGAGACCAGCCTGGGCAACATGGCAAGATCCTATATCTACTAAAAATACTTAAAAATACCTGGGCATTGGGCTGGGCACGGTGGCTCAAACCTGTAATTTCAGCACTTTGGGAGGCCTAGGCGGGCGGATCACCTGAGGTCAGGAGTTCAAGACCAGCCTGCCCAACATGGTGAAACCCCATCTCTACTACAAATACAAAAAATTAGCCAGGCATGGTGGCGGGCACCTATAAGCCCAGCTACTTGGGAGGCTGAGGCAGGAGAATTGCTTGAACCCGGGAGGTGGAGGTTGCAGTGAGCCGAGATTGTGCCACTGCACTCCAGCCTGGGCAACAGAGTGAGACTCCGTCTCAAAACAACAACAACAACAAAATACAGGCATGGTGGTGCCTGTCTGTGGTCCCATCTACTTTGGTAAGTTGGGGTGGGAGGATTGCTTAACCCTGAGGTGGCGGAGGTTGCAGTGAGCTGAGATCGCACCACTGTACTCCATCCTGAGTGACAGAGTAAGACTGTCTCAAAAAAAAGAAATTACTCTACCAGATGCCAAAATGTAATATTAAGATAAACTGTGTACTGGCTATAAAATTGATCAGAAAGCAAAAAGGGAAAGAGTTAAGAGTTGCCAATTTAAACTTAAGAAGTCAAACATCTAATAAAATTAAAAGGCAAAAGTAAAAATGGGAAGTATTTGTATCATGACTGAATTCTTCCTTAACTTAAATCTTATGTAACAAGAGGCCAACAGCCCTGGAGGAAAAAAATGAGCAAAGTGTATGAACACATAAACAGTCTGTCGGTACCTGTGGAGAATGTTCATCCTCACTGTTATTTTAAAATGCCAAATCGAATTTGAAAGGCAAAAAGGCTTGCTAGTATTAAAAGGATAATACCCAATTTTGGCATGAGTCTGTGCTCAAATGCCCATTCCTTCTCTGCTGGTCCAAGTGTAAGCTAGTATTACCTTTCTGTGAAGTGGCTGGGTGATGTGTACCAATATGATTGGGTAGAATGGGGAAAGTCTGTTGCTGACAGCAGCTAATGGAAATATAATTACAGTAGGGAAAAAAGTCTGTGTCTAGTGTATAAAGTGATATAGGAAATGTGTAAAGCTGCAGATCAGCCTGCAAATGAACCACTGTGTCTCAATTAGATCCTAGTAGTATTCTATCTTTGGTTAAGACCCGTCTCTCACCATGCTGTGCTCCTCGTGTATAAATATTATTTCTGGCTGGGTGCAGTGGCTCACACCTGTAATCCCAGCACTTTGGGAGGCCAGGGTGGAGGGATCACTTGAATCCAGGAGTTTTAGATGAGCCTGGACAACATAGGAAGAACGTTATCTCTACAAATAAAAAAATGAAAAAAAAAGCCAGGAGTGGTGGCAAGCGCCTGTACTCCAGGCTCTTTGGGAGGATCACTTGCGCCAGGAAGTCGAGGCTGCAGTGAGCTGTGCTTGTGCCACTGCACTCCAGCCTGGGTGACAGAGTGAGACCTTGCCTCAAAAAAAAAAAACAAAACAAACAAAAAAAAAAACCTCTATGGCAGATGAGAATAGAATTACTGTTATCCTGCAGAAAGAAGCCACTTGAAAAAGAAATCTGTATTCTCAGTTTGTTTTATCTGCTTTGATGTCTCCACTATGTGACTTCAAGCAGCCCTAAAGTATGTCATGTGTAGAAAAAAATACATATATTCCATGAGAAATGACGTATTTGAAGTTAGAGTATTAAGGAGCTTTTCTTTACCCTCTTTAGCAATGATGAGAAGTTCATCTTTCTTGTGTGACTTTGTCCTTTTTGCTTCCTTTCCTTTGTAGTATGTGCCAAGTGCTCTCTGCTGCCCCAGCAGAGCCAGTATCCTGACAGGAAAGTACCCACATAATCATCATGTTGTGAACAACACTCTAGAGGGGAACTGCAGTAGCAAGTCCTGGCAGAAGATCCAAGAACCAAATACTTTCCCAGCAATTCTCAGATCAATGTGTGGTTATCAGACCTTTTTTGCAGGGAAATACTTAAATGAGGTGTGTTGAATGATCTTTCTTTTTTTATAATGACTTTTAAAATATGAATATAATTCATGTTAATTTTATTATTAGTATCAATTAATGTTAAAGGATTTCTTGGTGTACGCTGTTTTCTGTGAATCTGCCTGTTAAGCAAGAACAAGTACCCACATCATGTAAATATGTTCATATAAGTACACATGTACATATTTACATGATTTGGGTAAGTACAGTGTATTTATATGATGTGGGTACTTGTTCTTCCTTTCAGTAGTCCCAGGAGCATGTATTTAAAAATTGTTCTAAGAGTGCTGCTGTCTGATGCGTCTTCCCTTTTTCCTCAGGAATTCTGTTTGTCATGTGGCTGTCATGGTATCTTTGTTTCCATTTCCTGTTACCAGTATCTAACTGAAGACATTTTTCATCTTAGAATCTTTCCTCAGATTTTTAGAATCTTTTCTGAATTACAACAACTTAATGCTTAACTCATTTTCTAATGTGAAAAGTGGCAACAAAATGTGGAGAGATTAGTGATGAAGTACCCAGAGTCAGGATTCTGCAGGTCATTAAAGTATATGGCCAGCAGCTGGTACACCAGCCTTGTAGACCTAGATGGAGGGATACCCCCGGTGACCTGTCAAGGCTAGATTCCATGTGCCCACATTCACACATTGGCCTTAGCTGTTACCCAGAGTCCAAGCTTAAAGGAAATAGTTTGAGAATGTTTGGGGTTAGCTCTTACAGTTAAACTGGGGGTTCAAGACAAAGAGAAAATGTACTTATACTCTTTATCTGTAGTTGCTAGAGATCTTAATATCTGATCCAGATTTTCTGTTAATTCTCCCCTCCCCCCAATAATTGGGGGAATCTGCAACCTTATGAGTCTGCAGGAAGATGAGTCAGTTTGAAAAGGATCATGAGAACTAGGAACTGTGGATACTGGGTCATTTGGTTGGGGCTATGGGTCATAAAGACAGCTTACACTGCTTTGCATGTTGAAGGACATCTGATGTGTATATAAAATTAAGAGCCCGTTAAAGTAGAAAGATTTTGTTTTCAGGGATTAAATTCTGCCTTAAGTGGATGGCATTAAACCTTGTAAGGATAAAGGGGGATAATTCTGTGGTTTCTTTATTTTATTCATCTCATCAGATAAATCAAGCTCGAAAAGTGGGTTTCATCTGCAGGGCAACTGAAATACAGATTATCCCTTATCCAAAATGCTTGGGATCAGAAGTATTTTGTGTTTCAGATTTTTTGGATTTCGAAATATTTGCATGATATTGAACAGTCCAAATCTGAAACAGTCCAAATCTGAAAATGTGAAGTGCTCCAGTGAACATTTCCTTTGAGTGTCGTGTTGACACTCAAAAAGTTTTAGATTTTCAGATTTGGGATGTTCAATGTATAATAAGTCGATAGCTCATAGTCTGATTATTTGAACTACTTTAGGGTCAATTGGACTATTCAGTCTATGGTATCAGCAGGTCAGCATTCACCCCATGAATAGGCTGCGTGGGGTAGGCTGTGTGGACTTTTTCTGTAGTGGGTCAGATAGTAAACATTTCAGGCCTTGCAGGCCATACGTCTCTGTCGCTACTATTCAGCTCTGCCACTGTAGCGTGAAAGCAGCCACAGACACTACACTATGTACAGGAATGTGGCTGTCTTCCAATAAAACTCTTTATCATTATTAAAATTTGAATTTATATAATTGTCACATTTCACAGAATATTCTTATTTTGATTAACTTTTATATTTGAAAATTGTTAAAACAAATTCTTAGCTTGCTGTTCATACAGAAGTCATCAGGCCAGATTTGGCTCACTGGCTGTAGTTTGCCAACTCCGGCTTTAGAAGTTCCTGGGATTATTAGAGTTTATTTTTGACTAGTGTCTGTTTTAGGCACTGGTCTAAAAAGATTCTAAAATTTCCTGTTTCTTTCTGGTCTGGTCATATCTAAGGACTTGTAACTGTCCCTACTTGTTTTGCTTTTCAGTACGGAGCCCCAGATGCAGGTGGATTAGAACACGTTCCTCTGGGTTGGAGTTACTGGTATGCCTTGGTGAGTGATTATTGAAGTCAGTGACAATTATATGCAGCCCTACAGATGCAGAATATGTTTAATTTAGCTCTGATATTGACATAACTTTATTTGCTATTACAATTAGTCATTTTAAAACCTTAAAATTTATTGACTTATGGCCAGGTGTAGTGGCTCATGCCTAGAATCCCAACACTTTGGGAGGCAGAGACAGGAGGATCTCTTGAGTTCAGGAGTTCGAGACCAGCCTGGGCAAAATGGCGAGACCCCATCTCAACGAAAAATTTTAAAATTAGCTGGGTGTGGTGGCATGTGCCTGTAGTCCTAGCTGCTCGGGAAGCTGAGGCAAGATGATCACTTGAGCCCAGGAATTTGAGGCTGCAGTGAGCTATGATTGTGCCACTGCATTCCAGTCTGGGCATCAGAGAGACCCAGTCTCGTATTTTAAAAAAAAAAAAAAAAAAAAAAAAAAAAAGGTCTATTGACTTGTGAGTCAGTCCTTTCTGGGATGTTTTTCCTGCATTGTACATGGTTTAGCAAAGTAGTTTGCTTTCTACCTGATCTACTTCTGGCTTTTTAACTAGAATGTACAATTGAAACTATGCTTGTCTTTAATAAAACCCTAGTCAAAAACTCCAATTCAGTATTGACTTGAGTAATTATCTTTTTAATGTCTTATCACTGCCCAGAGTATAGTTTAGCCCAGCATGGATTCAGACTTCTACTTTGTGCACTGACCTCGTAACAAATTTGACTTTCCTCTTTTTAATAGGAAAAGAATTCTAAGTATTATAATTACACCCTGTCTATCAATGGGAAGGCACGGAAGCATGGTGAAAACTATAGCGTGGACTACCTGACAGATGTTTTGGTGAGTTGCAGAAGCCCTGTAGCTCTGTCCTTACAGGGTTGGCTCACATTTGATTGAAGACTCTGCCTAGAAAACCTATAATCTTATTTGTTTGTGTTGGGTAATATAAATGCACAGTAACTTAGTCTAACTGCCCAAGAGTATTTCCAGCTGATTACAAACTCCTGAGGGTGTTTTCTTTGTGTATAAGCCAGGCTCAACTCTAATGCTCTTGAAATTCCAGCAACAAATCCCTTTTCCAAAGGTTAATCTCGTCGACTATAGAGATTACTTTGTAGAGGTTTTACTTTGTAAGGGTACCTACTCTTGACCCCAGTTTTACTCACAAGCTACAAGATGGCAGCTTCACAGGCCCCATTATGAGGATGGAGTGATAAGGATACTGGATTTATTTGGGCATTGGGTATTTATATATAAAAATTACTGAAAGCAGGTTAAATTGGAACTTTCCTATTCTGAGGCATTTCTAACGACAGTCTTCCATAGTATTATATATTCATTCACTCAACAGTTCAGCACCTAGTGTAGCCAGTATTCAGCAGTAAATGAAGCAAAGTCCCTGATTCTGTGGAAGGTAATTTTACTTACACACACACAGTCTTATGTGTTGTGTCATTAGCTGGTGAGCAGTTAGAGAAATAAGTTAGGGTATGAGGTTACTTAGATAACATTTAAGCAGAAACTCGAAGTAGGTGAAAATGAGCTGTGCAGATCCGGGGAATAGTGCTACAGAGTCAGGGAACAGTAAGTGGGAGGGCCCTGAGGCAGGAGTGTACCTGGCATATTTGAGAAACCACAAGGAAGCTGATGGGACTGGAGTGAAAGGTAGATGGAGGGGTTATAGGAGATAGATACAGTCAGTATCTTTTGAGTTATTGTTGGGAATAAATGAAATTACTTCAGAACAATAAAAAACAATATATATGTAGCATGCTTTCATTTTCATAAAGTATCTTCTGATAAGCAAAGGAAAAATGTAAGTCCATGTATTAAAACTCTAGTGGGATGTATTTGAATCTAATGTTATTCACTTAGCTACTTCAGTGCATAATTTATGACATCTACTTTCTACATATTTTCATAAGGTTAAGGTAACTTAATCTACCTTTCCCACTGTTTTAAGTTGACTCTCTTTTTACATTCTTTAAGGCATCACATGTAGATACCATAATCTCCGTTAGTGTAAGTTAATACTAAAATGGCCAAGTTACTGTTTCCTTCTTTGTGGGAGACATGATTTCTAGGTCATATAAAATTATCAAGATCTTCATTGCCTTCTTATGTTGGTATGCTTCTCAGTCTTTAAAGTATTGCCTAAAAACCAAATATATTTGTTCCAACATATGCTTGCAAATGGCTATGACATGAGATCATGTGCTAAGATTGCTTAAAAGCTAGTAAGACCCTGTGCTGTCTGCTCACCAGAAGACATTTATCTATTAAATACTCATCTGTTGGGTAAGGTAGGAGATGACGTATCTTTTTATGTGTCAGGCTAATGTCTCCTTGGACTTTCTGGACTACAAGTCCAACTTTGAGCCCTTCTTCATGATGATCGCCACTCCAGCGCCTCATTCGCCTTGGACAGCTGCACCTCAGTACCAGAAGGCCTTCCAGAATGTCTTTGCACCAAGAAACAAGAACTTCAACATCCATGGAACGGTAGCTTCCCGCATCCCTTGTATTCAGCCGTACTCAGTAAAATTAACTATATGATATACTTGTCAGGAAGCCTTTGAGCCATGTAGTGGGTTTTTCTTCACAATGTTTTAGAGGTAATTGCATCTGTCCCTAGTACAACCGATAGTATACTTGCATTGCAAGTACCGATAAAGTTCCTGCTACACATCCATTGAGCAGCTGGATAGTTGACAGGGAATGGTAAAGAATGCCATCTTTCCCAATTTACAGTCATATCACTTAGGCTCTCCTGGTAACCTCTGTGCAGGCTCTCCTCCCTCCTGGCATAGCCGGGACTGCACCAGCCTCCTGGTGGCCCTCACTAGCCTTTGAGGCATGGGAAGAAGGGGTGGCACAGAGCAATATGGATGGAAAGGGAAGTTGAATGGAAAAATGAACCAGGTGACATGATTAAAAGCCACGACAACCCATATGTTTGCCTCATGTGCCAATTACTTATAGTTCCCTTGGCTTGGTGTATAGACAGTTCCCTGGTTCAAAGACGGAAGGCCTCCATTGCCTCAGGTCTGTTATCCAGAAATTGTAATTGCTTGTAAGGTTATAGAAAGAAGGAATCATAAAGTCAGACTCAGAACTACCACTTTCTAGCTCAGTTCTGACCATGAGCACGATGCTTAACTGCATTTTTTCATGTGAAGTGGGAGCTCTTGATCCCTTATGAACTACTGTATGAATTCAAGTACATAGAAACAATTAGCATATTGCCTGGCACATTATGGGCAAGTGCTTGTTAAATACAATTTCAAAGCTGAGTAAACTGGGTTTTAAATTAGAGGACCATTCGCAATCTGTGTTCCAAAAGAAGTTAATAAAAAGTTCCCATGGTCAAGTAAGTTTGGAAAGTTTGAGTTAAATAAGTCACTCCGCTGCAGGACTTCTCAGAGTTATTCATGATCGAATGTGAATTTCTAGCAGGAGGATATGCTGTATAGCATTTCCCAAACTTAATAACACTTTGAGGAAGGTAGTTCGAGATATGGTGGCTTAGGGTTTTACAAATAGAGAAGAGAGAATAGTATATGGGGATGTTTTTGTTTAAATGGGAGGGCCCTCCAGATTTAGACTTGAAGTTTTAGGAAATTGCTGTAATAAGATTTTTCCTTAGGATCTAGGGTGACCGATGTCTTGGCTAGGCAAAACTTAGAGGAAGGCAGACCAGGTGCAGTGGCTTATGCTTGTAATCCCAGCACTTTGGGAGGCCAAGGCAAGAGGATCACTTGAGGCCAGGAGTTCAAGACCAGCCTGGCGAACATGACGAAACCCCATCTCTACTGAAAATACAAAAATTAGACAGGTGTAGTGCACGCCTGTAATCCCAGCTACTCGGGTGGCGGAGGCGTGAAAATCACATGAATCTGGGAGGCACAGGTTGCAGTGAGCCGAGATGGGCACCCCTGCACTCCAGCTTGGCCTTGGGCTGGAGTGCAGTGGTGCGATCTTGGCTCAATGCAACCTCCACCTCTGTCTCAAAAAAAGCAACTTAGAGAAAGGTAAAGTTACTTGCCCATTTTGTAATTGTAGTAGACCAAAGGCATAAAATCAGAGTTGTAAATGTAATCTCATTTTAGCCAGTAGTTTCCCAGTGACATCCTCTAAAATTTCTTAATGCTGCTAACAGAGGAGCCAAGACCTTTTGTGGTTTGGGAGGTGCTGGGAAGCTGAAGAATGAGAGATTGAGTTAATCTGCAGAAATTTCTATTTTAAGAATGCAGGAAGGGAGAGAAGGTCTGAAGTTGCTTAAACAGGTTCCAATTAGTTCCTTCTTCCTGAAGTATGAGTGAAATGATTCTATTTATTATCTACTTTAGTAATCCAGTATTTTGTTTGACTGTGGTGACTTGGTGTTAACATTATTTTTCTTCTAAATTTTAGAACAAGCACTGGTTAATTAGGCAAGCCAAGACTCCAATGACTAATTCTTCAATACAGTTTTTAGATAATGCATTTAGGAAAAGGTAAGAGCTGCTGCTACATAACAATCTGAGTTGTTTTAAGGACTCTACAGATCAGCTCATGAAGAGGGGACCACCACATTGTTGTTTCTGAAACAAAAATAGAGGGAAGCAGGTCAGTGGGAGAGAGGCTTCAATGGGGCACCAGAAGCAGAGACATTCCTTTACACTCAATGAGGTGGCCTTTGGACCCCAGTACTAATTAGACTGCCCATTTTTAGGACTTGGCAAAAGTATTGCAAACTTGAACCATGTGGTAGAATTTTTTTCTCCTGCTTTAAAGAAAAGGTTACTTGGTTAAGAGAGCCCATTGTCATCTGTGACAAATGACCCAACAGCTTAGACAAGATCAAAATATTTGCCCTTGCTGTTTGGAATTTTCAAGAAATTATCTTAATTCAATTTTTAAAAATCCATTACTTTCTCTTAGGAAGTGTTTAGTGTAGACCAGGGATAAGCAAACTTTTTCTGTAAAGGGGCAGATAGTAAATATTAATAGACTTGCAGGTCATACATTCTGTCACAACTACTCAGCTCTGCTATTGTAGCACAAAAGCAGCCCTGGGTAATATGTAAATGAATGAGCATGGTTGTAGTCCAATAAAACTTTATAAAAACAGACAGTGGGCAAGCTTTGGCCCATGAGTCATAGTTTGCCAGCTCCTAGTTCAAACATCTTAAGCTTTTTTGTAGCACAGTCCTATCTGAATTAATCTGTAGTACACAGTACTGACAATGGACAACTCTTTCTTCTGTTTGTCTCTACTCTCATCACTATTGCCAATAAAAAGTAAAGCTAACGGGTTATTTAAAAATGAGTTTATTTCTTTGGAAACAATTAACTTTGGAATGAATTATGTTCTGGAATTTTCTAATCTATTTTTTACAATGGGAAGGTCTGGGGAATGGAGATTGGGGATTTGAGTTTTGGGGGAGAGTGTTTTGGGTTTTTTCTTTTTTTAAACAGGGGTGTCTTTGTTTATGGTTGTTTTTGTTTGTTTGTTTGTTTGTTTTGGCAAGATAGTGATACCTCAGCCATTGCCCCTGAAGTCCCATTTCTACCTTCTGTTCACATCCAGGTGGCAAACTCTCCTCTCAGTTGATGACCTTGTGGAGAAACTGGTCAAGAGATTGGAGTTCACCGGGGAGCTCAACAACACTTACATCTTCTATACCTCAGACAATGGCTATCACACAGGTCAGAGGCAGGGTTAGATACTGCTGTGATCTTTGAGAATATGTCTTTCCTTTTTCACCCAATGAGCCCTGGCAGAGAGTTCTAGTCTTGTTATAACTGGACATGCCAGAGGGAGGATCTTGCCCTCAGGACTCCTCCAGTTGGAGCACCACATCATTCACACATGGAGAAACCAGGTTTTATTATTTGCTGTTTCACACGCAAGATGACATGGTGTTCTAGAGTGGGGGCAGAGCATGAGCTTGATGGGTTGGAGGCAGACCGTATGGAAGGCATTTGAGACAGGAAGGCCAAAAGAAGGTTGTCTTGTGGGGAAAACTTTCTTGCCATTCATGGAATTTGTTTTTTGAGTGTTTTTGTTTTTTTTCAAAAGCTGCAGGATGAATCAGCTCTGTGTCCTTGACTTTCATGCTTTCTACTTGGACCTTCTGTTGTTAAAAGCAAACATTTTCTTCTTTCCACATATATAAATGTCCACTTGAATGTAATTCACTTGAGACTTGCTTGCATAGGAGGAGATTGCTTAGGCATTAATGCATTATTGTGATTATTTTTTTGATGAGGGGGAGTGGGGGGACAGAATCTCACTCTCTCACCCAGGCTGGGGTGTAGTAGCGCTGTGATTTAGGCTCACAGCAACCTCCGTCTCCCAGATTCAAGCGATTCTCCTGCCTCAACCTCTCGAGTGCCGGAGACTACAGGCACATGCCACCACGCCTGACCAATTTTTGTGTTTTAGTAGAGATGAGTTTTTACCATGTTGGCCAGACTGGTCTTGAACTCCTGACCTCAGGTAATCTGCCTACCTCGGCCTCCCTAAGTGCTAGGAGTACAGATGTGAGCCACATGCCCGGCCTGTGAATATTTTTAAACACAAAGTAGAGAATAGTAAAATAGCCCCCATTATCCGGCTTAGATTTTCAGCTGCATGAGGCCAGTCTTTTGAATTCTTCCTACTCTCCGTGTGTTTTTCTTTTGTTGCTAGAAGGTTTTGAAGCAACTCCCATACACATGACTCCAGGATTCAACACCAGATTATGCATCTGACTCTGGTTATTATGTATCAAGATGCAGACCGCCAGCCACAGTGGCTCACACCTATAATCCCAGCACTTTGGGAGGCCAAGGCAGGTGGATCACCTGAGGCCAGGAGTTCTAGATCAGCCTGGCCAACGTGCCAAAACTCCTTCTCTACTAAAAATACAAAAATTAGTCAGGCGTGATGGCACATGCCTGTAGTCCCAGCTACTCAGGAGGCTGAGGCAGGAGAATCGCTTGAATCCAGGAGGTTGAGGTTGCAGTGAGCTGAGATCATGCCACTGCACTCCAGCGTGGGTAACAGAGCGAGATTCCATCTCAAAAAAAAAAAAAAAGATGCAGACAAGGTCCACATACTACCTCTAGTTACTGTGTCTCCTAACTCTTGTCATTTGCCATGAATTTACAGGGAGAAGTGGGTCTTTTGTCCATCAGAATGTCTCACATTCTGAATTTGGCTAACTGCTGTCTTATAGTGCCTTCACTTGTTCATCTCTAGTCAGCATTTCCTATAGATTGGTAGTTAGATTCAGAACTTGATATAAATTTGCATTTTCAGGTGATGGTGCATCCTTGCCTGCTGGTGTGTTCTTCCTATTGCATCATGTCATGAGGCCCCAGGCATCTGGCTGCACTGTTTTTGGGGTGCTGGTGATTGATGGGTCAGGTGGTTTCAGCCTGAGCTCTTCCTTTGAGCTTTTCTTTTATTCCATTGATGATTGTTGCCTAAATTCATTATTCCCTCAGAAACTGCAAAATGTTGATTTTGTAATCCTGTCCTTTCTTTTGTATTTATTAGCTGGAATTCCTCAGAGAACTACTTCCCCTTATCAATTATTTGGTTATTTTGAGATGCAGTTTATTCAGGAAACACAGGATAGGTGTTTTTGTTTGTTTGACAGTTTTTGGAGTAAACTTCATTCAGTTTTGATGAGGCTGAGTAGCATGCATAATTTTTTATGTATTTGTGTTTCAATACTTTCCTGTCATTATTTTTGCTCATTTTGTCCTATCATAAGCTGAGGAGTCCCTTCTAGTCATTTATTTAGAGAAGATAAATTCGTTGTTTTCCTGCCTTGTAGTAACAAGAGATGTCTCCAGGCAAATTTCAGCTTTCTATTAAAACACCAGAATCAGTAGAACAAAGTTGTTTTAGTTTTGGCTGTGGATTAAATGAGGGAAACATAACATGAGCAAGGCCTGTGTCTTGGCTCCATCTTTACCTTGTGTGTTTTGTTTTCAGGACAGTTTTCCTTGCCAATAGACAAGAGACAGCTGTATGAGTTTGATATCAAAGTTCCACTGTTGGTTCGAGGGCCTGGGATCAAACCAAATCAGACAAGCAAGGTAGGTGCCTGGCAAGCTGGTGCTGTGGACAGGTAGCCATTTGGCCTGAGAAAATAAGTTGTTTCCTCCTGAGAGAAGATTGAGTTCGGTTCCTCTTCCCACTAGGGCTGAGCGGCAGAAGAGCTTTTAAGTGGAAATAGTGATTCCTTTTTTTTTTTCCCTTAACTTCCCACCGCTCTCTATATCTGTATTTTCACCCCACATGTACATGTCCCATTAGGATGCGTAGCTTTCCTTTGTCTTTTGAGACTGGATCTTTGTTCTGGAGCAGTGACTCTCAAAAGAGGGTGTGCATCAAGATTGCCCTCCAAAACTGAAGAAGAAAAATGCTGCGTGCTTGGGCAATATCCAGAAAGAGTGTGATTGACTCACTTGGTCTGGAATAGGGACCCAGCATTTGCCTTTTTTCTTTTCGAAGTTTACAGGTGATTCTGAGAGGCAGCCTGGTTTGGGGCCCACTGCCTTGTAGAGCAGAGCTCCTCTGGGTTTTCTCTGAATCCCCTGGGGATCTGGTTAAAATGCAGATTCTGCTTCTCCATTTCTGACCAGCTCCCGGGTGATGTCTGCTGCTGGCCTGACCTCACTTTGAGTATAAGGCTATCAAAAACATGTCTTCTAGGAATTAGTCTTTCCCTGTGCCGGGCTCTTCCTTATGAATGCTTTGTTGCTTTCTTGGTTCTCTCCCTAGAACTGCCATAATATGCCACATTGTTCTGTTGTCATTCCCATTCGGTTTCAGTGTCTTTTTCCAAACATGGTACGTAATGCTGAGGCACTTTGTTCCTAGCAGTCATGAGGACCTTCATCCTCATCTAAAATACTGTCCTCCAACACTCGGGAGAAAAGAATTGACAGGCTCCACCAGCTATGTCTTCTCTCCTTTCTGATATCCCAGTTTCAATGTCAGTCCCAGTTCTGAGAGACCAAAGAAGATGAACAAATACACACTTTAAGCTGAAATTGCTAAGTGGGTTTTTAAATGGGCCAGACTTTCTGGGTATATTGGGTACTTTAATTTTGGAGCTTGATGTTTACTTGTTTAAAATGTCTATTTTTCACTTATTTCCTTTTACAACACTCTTGATGGAGTTCTGTTAAAATTCTCTTGAAGAGTAAAATGACCTTCATAATTACCTTTTGTGTTTTTCTCTTAAGACCCATGTTCCTAAAGCTAGTCACTTTTCCCTACAAATTTCAGTGCCTTCTAAACAGGCTCCCTCTTTCAAAGGAGATAAGCAAGTTTGGAAGACCATTAAATCTTAAAAGTATTTTCTCGAGGTTGTTGTTTGGAACTGATTGAGGAGACCATGTCAGCAGCCATGTTCTGTTTTTAGGAGCAGAGCTACCTCAGCCCACATGGGAAGGAGGCTGAGTGAGATCATAGTGAAATGTGTCGGCCAGCTGCCTGTGGAAAAAATTGTTCCTTTTTTTCTTTAAGTTAACATTGCCATCTAAGTGTTAAAAATCAGAAACTTCACCTTCTCTAAGCAATCTAAATGAAATCTGGTTCCTGAGAAGCCATTTCAACAATGTAGCTAACATGTATTGTTTAGTATGGGACAGGTGCTATTCTAAGTGTATTACCTGATTCAACTCACTCAGTCCTCACAGTTGATGAGATGGAGGTACTGTTAACCCTATTTTGCAGATAAGGAAAACGGAAGCAGAGAAGTTGTTTGCCAAAGATCACATAGCTAAAAAGCAGCAGAGCCCTGCATTTGAACTGGGGCAGTCTGGCTCCAAAGTCTGTATACTTAACCATTACTTTATAGCTCAGTCAACAAGTATTTATTATCTTCTTTGCCAGTACAGTACACCAAGGAGCCTTGCACATGGCAAGGAGCAATCAAACAAAATCAGTTTTGTTGTCGTTGGGTTTTTTTTTTTTTTTTTTTTTTTTTTGAGATGGAGTCTCGCTCTGTTGCCCAGGCTGGAGTGCAGTGGCGCGATCTCTGCTCACTGCAAGCTCCGCCTCCTGGGTTCACGCCATTCTCCTGCCTCAGCCTCCCTACTAGCTGGGACTATAGGTGCCCACCACCATGCTTGGCTAATGTTTTTTTTTTAAGTAGAGATGGGGTCTCAATCTCCTGACCTTGTGATCTGCCCACCTTCTCCTCCCAAAGTGCTGGGATTGCAGACATGAGCCACCGCGCCTGGCCACAAGATCAGTTCTTAAATCCCTGTGTCAGGGAGCACAAGATATTTAAGCTACAGTGGTCAGTGAAAGCCTCTGAGGCATTTGAGCAGACGTGGATGTTGAGAAGGATTTAGCCATGCAGAGATCTGTGGGAATAGTGTCCTGAGCAGTACGGTAAATGCAAAGGCTCAGATGTAAGGATAAGTTAGGCTTGTTCAAGAGACAGAAGGTAGCAGTTGTACTGAACTCCTTGTGCTTCCTAAGTGGACCTTCTCTCTCACCTCCTGGCCTTTGTACAAGTGACTGCTCCTTCTTTCTGCAATGCCCATCTCGCACCCCCTTCAGCTGGCCAAGTTAATTGTCCTTTAGGGCTTTGGTTTAGGGCTCCCTCTGGGAAGTCGCTTCATACTTCTGCTCCCACATGGGGTAGATGCCCTTCCTATATGTTCCCAGCTGGCCTCACACTTGTCACACCTTATTGAGTTTGTCTTTTTTAGTCTAGAATGTCCTAGAAAAGAGGACCTATCTAAACTTAAAATATCCAGCCCCTAACATATACTGGGGAACATCCACATTAGTTGAATGGATTTTTGCCAAGGTTGCAAAGTAAGTGGCAGATCAGGGACTGAAAGTTAAGTCTGTGCATTCTCAGAACCCATGTGTTTGTACATTGCTGCATTGACAGGTGTAATTTGAGAAGCATGAAATGCCCCAGCTTTCCCCTGGCACAGGGAATGTCAGAGATGATGGGTGATGTATCATGTGTTGGCAGCACAGTTGACTCAGTACCAGCCGTTCTGTGTGAGTGGCACTGGCTTGTGAGTTGGGCATAATGAGCTGAGCTGTCAGCAGCCTCGACAGCCAGATCAGTGCACATTTAACTGACTGGTGGACTTAGCTGTGTGTTGGCTATGCGGGAGAACTGGGACAAGGTCGTATGTGTAGATGTCAAAGATTGGCTGTTGACGTTTTCTCCTCTGACTAGTTTAGCTTTGGTGGTAGAAGTTCTGCAAAAGGAATTCTAGAAAGGAAAAGGTTAGTAGGAAAACTAGAATGATACAGCATGGTCCCAGGGAAATAGAAGTGAACTGGGAGTCAGGAAGACCACCTATTGGCTTTGGACAAAATCAGCCTTGGTTCCCCTAGTTTTGTGAAAGTAAGAGGCTGTTAAGCCTCCATTATTAAGTGGAACCCACCTTCCTCCTTGTCAGGAAAACGAACTGAGGGGCAAGTCCAGCCGAAGCAACCAAGATAATGGGATTCTGCACTTTCTCATGCAGTTACAGTGCTTTTCACTAAGTGAATTTGGGGTGCTTCCTAGTGTGCTTGGAGCCTTTTCTTTGATAACTCTACAGAAATTCAACATCAGGGTTTGGGTGTCTGTTTGGAAACCTGATGTGTTCTGAGAGCCCATTGCCATCTTGTTCTTTTCAGTAATTATGCAACAGTGTCATTCTTTCAGAGCAAGAATAAGCAGATTCAATGCATGATACCCCTTGATTTAAGCCCCAGGAGTGTTTGTTTATTTGTTTGTTTGTTTTGAGACAGAGTCTTGCTCTGTAACTTAGGCTGGAGCGCGGTGGCATAATCTTGGCTCACTGCATCCTCTGCCTCCCAGGCTCAGGTGATCATCCTACCTCAGCCTTCTGAGTAGCTGGGACTATAGGCACACACCACCATGCCCAGCTAATTTTTGTTTCTTTGTGTTTTTTTGGGTTTTTTTTGTTTTTTGTAGAGCTGGAGTTTCATTACGTTGCCCAGGCTGTTCTGGAACACTGGGCTCAAGCGATCAGCCCTCCTCCCCTCATTACAGGCATGAGCCACCACAGCCAGTCTACCTCAGGGTTTTCTAGGGACTTTCATTTGATTAGGATATTTATATACTTGATTGCTAAGAACATTCTCAACCTGAGAGAGTGTGATTTATCAAATAATTTATTTTTTTGGCTGGGCACAATGGCTCATGCCTGTAATCCTAGCACTTTGGGAGGACAAAACAGGTGGATCACCTGAGGTCAAGAATTCGAGACCAGTCTGGCCAACATGGTGAAACCTCGTCTCGACTAAAAATACAAAAATTAGGCTGGACACGGTGGCTGACGCCTATAATCCCAGCACTTTGGGAGGCCAAGGCGGGTGGATCATGAGGTCAGGAGATCGAGACCATCCTGACTAACATGGTGAAACCTCATCTCCACTAAAAATACAAAAAATTTAGCCAGGCTTGGTGACGGGCACCTGTAGTCTCAGCTACTCGGGAGGCTGAGGCAGGAGAACGGCATGAACCCAGGATGTGGAGCTTGTGGTGAGTTGAGATCGTGCCACTGCACTCCAGCCTGGGCGACAGAGCGAGACTCTGTCTCAAAAAAAAAAAACAACAAAACAAAAAACAAAAACATAAGTCAGGTGCGATGGCGGCTGCCTGTAATCCCAACTACTTGGGAGGTTGAAGCAAGAGTATCACTTGGACCCAAGAGGCGGAGGTTGCAGTGAGCCGAGATCTCACCATTGCACTCCATCCTGGGCAACAGAGCAAAAAATCTGTCTCAAAAAATATATTTTTGGTCTTGTCAAAGCTTTTTCTGTTCCAATCCGTAAATGAATTTTTTGTTTATTTGAGATAGGCACTATCTCACCCAGGTTGGAATGTGGTGGCTCAAACATGGCTCACTGCAGCCTTGGCCTACTGAGCTCAAGTGATCCTCCTGCCTTGGCCTCCCAAAGTGCTGGGATTACCAGCGAGAGCCACTGTGCTCAGCCCATAAATGAATTTTTAAATTTTTACTAGACAAAAGCAATACCCTGAAACTAATGTTTATCAAAGTCATCACATTGATGGGTGAATCCATCCAAATTCTTTGTTATATAAAAACCAGAGGTAGGTGTAATTCTTTTTAACTCTTCATTCATACTTGCTGTTCGCTAGAAGTCTCCCATCTCCTGATATAGTATGCTGATTTTGAGACTGTCTGCTTATTCAGATAACATTCTAGAAGAGGAGGCAGTTTATCCATTATATTTAGGGGAGTGTGATAATTATAGATTTCTAGGGAGAAAGAGTCCTGGAATGACTTGTGCTTACGGTACTTGTGCTGAATCTTAGTGACTTTGGATTTTTACTGGATCTTACCCCTTTCTCTCCAGAGAGCAAAATGCCATTAGAAAGAGCCTCGGCTGGGTGCAGTGGCTCACACCTGTAATCCCAGCACTTGGGGAGGCCAAGGCAGGCGGATCACTTGAATTCAGAAATTTGAGACCCGCCCGGGCAGCGTGGCAGAAACCCCATCTCTACTAAAAATTAATAATACAAAAATTAGCTGGGCATCATGGTGTGCACCTGTAGTCCCAGTTGCTCTGGATGCTGAGGCAGGAGGATCAGTTGAATCTGGGAGGTCAGGGACACAGTGAGCTGTGATTGTGCCACTGCACTCCAGGTTGGGTGACAGAATGAGACCCTGTCTCAAACAACAAAACAAAAAGAAAGAGCTTCCCCCCACCTCACAAAAAAAGGAGCAAGCCTCCCATTATACAGGTGTTGGCTCTTGCAATTTTTGGTGAGATGACAGTCACCATTTTATATCTCTGTGGGTTTTTTGATGTTTCCTCTTTTCTTTTAAAACTGCCTTGAACATTATAGTATCTGAGGAATTGGCTTCACCTCATTCATGTTACAGGCATCACTGAAGATCTGCTAGTCACACTTCAGGGTCTGTAGATGGCTTGTTGTCTTGATTTCATTCTGGAGATGGTGTCTCTCTTTGACCCTCCTTTCCTCCTGTGACCTCTTCCATATTGACACTCACACTTGATGACTGTTTTCCAAGCTGCTCAGTTTGCCTGGGGGATTTGGAACCAGGAAAGTTATCTGTAGCAGTGGGTCTTGTATCATCCCTAGAGACATCGTTTTTTGTGTGTGAGGTTTTTCCCCCACTGAGTAACACATGGATTGCCTTTCTCCTAAAGTGTCTGCCTCTGGGCGGTAATTCCTAACAGCTGCAGAGTTAGACTAATTGATTCAGAGCCAGGATATTTATCACTCTGCCCTCTAAGAGCTGTCCTAGCCATCAGGAAACCTGGCCCCTGATAATATTCTGAACTTTTTTTTTTTTTTTTTTTTTTTTTTTTTTTTTTTGCCTTTCCTATCTGTACTTTTGGTTTTGTTTTTATTTTATTTTCTTTTATTTTTTTTTGAGACGGAGTCTCGCTCTGTCACCCAGGCTGGAGTGCAGTGGCCAGATCTCAGCTCACTGCAAGCTCCGCCACCCGGGTTCACGCCATTCTCCTGCCTCAGCCTCCCGAGTAGCTGGGACTACAGGCGCCCGCCACCTCGCCCGGCTAGTGTTTTGTATTTTTAGTAGAGACGGGGTTTCACCATGTTAGCCAGGATGGTCTCGATCTCCTGACCTCGTGATCCGCCCGTCTCAGCCTCCCAAAGTGCTGGGATTACAGGCTTGAGCCACTGCGCCCGGCCTGGTTTTGTTTTTAAATTAATAGTTACAGGGCTGGGGTGTTTTTGTTTTGTTTTATTTCCCTGTTGGGCCTCTCCTAAGATGATCTAAGTGTTCTCAGCAGTTTTGAAGAATGTTATTTCCTGTCAGTAAGTGATGGCTTTTCCAGTTATAAGCTGGTAACTTTGCTCCAGTCACTCTTGTGTTTCATTTCTTCACCTATAAACACTGTGTCCACGGACTGTGATGAGGAATAAATGAGAATAAACGTCAAATACCTGGCACAGTAAACTGTAGTTCCCAGTTTTTCTCATTTCCTCTTTGTTTCCCCTGATGGAGTGTTTCAGCGCTTGAAGATTTTTCTAGCCTGTGACCAAGTGACTTCTATGCTTACGTTCTGTCTAGGCCTGCACTGTCCACTTGTGGCTGTTGAGCACTTGAAATGTGGATAGTCCAAATGGAGATGTGTTATTATTGTGAAATACCAGATTTCAAAGACTTAGTTCACAAAAAGTTAAATCTCATCGACTTTTAAAAAAATATTGTTTACATGTTGAAATATTAATATTCAGATATTTTTATAGGAAGTTAAATGAAATGTATACAGTTTTACCTGTTTTTATTTTAATGTGGTTATTGGACAATTTTTAATTGCATGTAGGGTCCCTTTTATATTTCTATTAGGCTACTCTGGATTAGGCCCTGTAGAGGTGTTGTCTACAGAAGGAAAATAGTCTGATAACCAAGGAAATAAGTCAAAGCATAAATACAGGACTATGTCTTTAGTTTCTAGAATGTTTAAAAACATCTAAGTTTTTTGCTCTTAAAAAATCTTGTATTGCTATATTTTTGGAATAAATTTTCTGCAGCCTTCACAGCCTGTTGCAAACATATTTTGGCAGTGTTGTCCCTTTGAGAAGCTATAAAAAGAGCTAATAATTCTCATTGGTGGCAAACATTCCATTTTTGAGGTCTTCCAAAATGTCTGGAGTTCATTTGAAGTCAAATTTAGTTAATCTGAATAATCAAGTTGTAAGACACTTCGTATAAAATAATTAGACCAACATTTTTCTCATGATTCACAGCAAACTCAAAGCAGTTCCAAAGGAGTTTTCAAAAAACATTTTGATCAATAACAGAATGGGTAGAATAAATATGTCACTTCCCCGGGGGATATACTATTATACAAGCTTTATAAGACTTTATATTTTGTTGTAATTTATTATAGTTATATTTGAATGCATGAAACAGACCAAAGCATGGGCTGTATAAAAGGTAGTAGTAAGTGTTGTTGTCTCATGGGTGGGGTGGGGGGAAGAGAACTTTAGTATAGATAGAAAAGGAAAATGAGACCAGCTGTGTTTTAGATTGTTTTTCCCTCTTTCGCATAGATGCTGGTTGCCAACATTGACTTGGGTCCTACTATTTTGGACATTGCTGGCTATGACCTAAATAAGACACAGATGGATGGGATGTCCTTTTTGCCCATTTTGGTAAGTATAGAGCCCTCAATCAGGCCTGAGCCAAGACCACAATAAATTCTGGGTTGTGTAAAGACTTAAAAATTTAAACATTAAATAATACTGTTATATTTGGGGGGCAGAAAAATCTTGTGGCGGGAAGGAGTTTTCTAAAATAAAAAATTAGACCACATGTGAAATTGAGAGTTCTGTTTCCTCCCCTCTTTTGCTCTCCTCCAAGAATACCCACCATAAATAAAGAGAGGTGACAGGTTGGGAACACATTGGCAGCATATGTAAAAAGAGTTATTAGTCCAAATACATGATTTCTTAACAAAGATTAATATCCCAGTGGGAAAATGGGCAAAAAAAAAGTGGCTAATCAACTTGTAGAAGAATTAAAAATGGCAAAACAAATGCAAAAAGATTACTTCAGTGCTAATCACGGAAATGCTTAACTGAAGGAGACCTCTATCTGTGAACTGGCAAAGATTTTTAAAACACCCAAGATTTTAGAAGTCTGAGAATTTGGAAAGTACTTTGTATACTTTTCATACAAGTGTAATCAGTATAACCTGTCAGAAGGTTAGTTTAATAAGACATACCACTTCAGAGTACACACGTCAAAAACAGACAAGTTAACTTCTGCCTGTCTGGTGAGTGAAATATGGCATTTGGTCTTACTGTGCATCTGTTTGTTTAATAATGAGGTGAATTATTTTTTAACAGCTTAATTCCCATACCATACAATTCACTCATTTAAAGTGTTGGCTGGGCGCGGTGGCTCACGCCTGTAATCCCAACACTTTGGGAGGCCAAAGGTGGGTGGATCACCTGGGGTCAGGAGTTCAAGACCATCCTGGCCAAAATGGTGAACCCCTGTCTCTACTAAAAATACAAAAAAGCTGGGCATGTTTGCAGGCACCTGTAATCCCAGCTACTCGGGAGGCTGAGGCAGGAGAATCACTTGAATCCAGGAGGTGGAGGTTGCAGTGAGCGGAAATCACGCCATTGCACTCCAGCCTGGGCAACAAGAGTGAAACTCCATCTCAAAATTAAAATCATTTTTTAGGTGTCCAATTCAATAGTTGTTGGTATAGTCACAACCATCATCATCATCTAAGAGCATTTTCATCACCCTAAACCCCCAGACACAGTAGTCACTCTAATAGGAGAAAACTGGAAATCCACATATCTAGTAGAGAATTGATTAAACTGTGGTGCAGGGAATTGATTAGATCTGTTGCTTCCATTCCCACCACGAATCTACTTTATGTCTGTATAGAATTGTCTGTTCTGAACTTTTCATATAAATGAAATTACATAACATGTGGCCTCTTGTAACTGTTTTTTTCAGTGAGCATGGTGTTTTCAAGGATCATATCATTGTAACGTGTGTCAGTACCTTGTTCTGTTTTAGTGCCAAATAACCTTCTGTGTGTGAATGTATCACATTTTGCTTATCCATTCATCAGATAATTTGGGCTGTTTCCACTCTTTGGCTATTATGACAATGCAGTTGTGATGTTTTTGTTTGTTTTTGAGATAGTCTTGCGCTATCACCGAAGCTGGAGGGAAGTGTTGCTGATCACAGCTCACTGCAGCCTCAGTCTCCCAGGCTCAGAGGATCCTCCCACCACAGCCCCCCCAAGTAGCTGGGACTACAGTGGCTGGCTACCACATCTGGCTAATTTTTTTTTTTTTTTTTTTTTTTTTTTTTTTTTTTTTTTTAATTTTTAGCAGAAATGAGGTCTTCCTACATTGCTCAGGCTGGTCTCGAACTCCTGGGCTCAAGAGATCCTCACATGTTTTCCAAGAAGATTTTAAGGGGAAAAAAAAAAATCCTCCCCCTTCAGCCTCCAAAAGTGTTGGGATTATGGGTGTGAGCCAACACTTGCTATTATCTGTCTTTGTGATTATTGTAGTAGGTGTGAAGTGGTATCTCATTGTGGTTTTGATTTTATTTCCCTGCTGACTATTGATGGTTAGCATTTCATCATGTGTTTGTCAGCCATTTGTATATCTTCTTTGGAGATGTGTTCATATTTGGATCCTTTGTCCATTTTTTTTTTTTTTTCTCAATTGTGTTACTGATCAGGGAATCACTTTTCATTTGTGCCTTTTTGTGTTTCTTCCCTTGAGAAATGCCTCTGCATTTTTGTGTATCATAGTCTCCTTTTATGACTTGTCTTTTCCATATATTAAGATATGGGAGCCAGGTGCAGTGGCTCACGCCTGTAATCCCAACAATTTGGGAGGCCAAGGCAGGCTGATCTCTTGAGTCCAGGAGTTCAAGACCAGCCTGGGCAACATGGCAAGACCCAGTCTCTACAAAAAATGCAGAAAATTAGCCAGGCATGATGGTGTGCATCTGTAGTCCCAACTACTCAGAAGGCTGAGGTAGCAGGATTGTTTGAGCCAAGGAGGTGGAGGTTGTAGTGAGCAGAGATCGTACCACTGCACTCCAGGAATTGAATGTATATATTGTTTCTTTTAATGTTTAGTGTCCTTTGTATATTTATAAAGATGCTTCTAAACTTTGAAGCCAGAAAGCTATTCTCCTATATTTTCCTCTGAAACTTTTGTAGCTCTGCCTCTTACATCCAAGTCCTTGATGTATCTAAAATTTCTTTTCTTGTAAGGTATGAGTCGGGGATTCAGTTTCACTCTTTTTTTTTTTTTTTTTTTTTTTTTGCTCTTTAGATACTCAGTTGTCTTTTTTGCTCCATGGATCTATCTATCCCTGTGCCAATATCATTTTGTCTTATAAAGCTGTGCAACTAAATCTCGATTTGCATAGGCATACCTCTCTGCTTATTGTTCTCATGGGGATCCTAGCCCCTGTCTTCCACATAAACTTTAGAATCGGCTTTTCAGATTACCTGAAAAACGTTGGCTTTTGGTTGGAATTGCATTTAAGCTATAGATCAGTTAGAGGAAATTTTACATCTTTTAACTTTTCATACAAGTCTTATACTTTATACCTTATTAAGTTTATTTCTAATTAGAAAAAAAAACTGATTCACTCTAGGGGTAAAAATCATTATGCTGTGTATAGTTTCTCTGCACAGTTCTCAAAGTGCCACTTAAGACTTGGTTCTTTTCCTTGTTCATGTTTTGTTTTTGGAGGTTATTCCGATGAAATACTGATGTATTAGAACAGTTAATTAGCCATGTGTGGCTACTTATTTAAATTAAAAATGAAATTCAGTTCTTTGGTTGCACTAGCCACACATCATGTGCTCAGTAGCTATCATATTGAACAGCAGAAATTGAGAACGTGTCAGCCAGCAAGTTCTGCTGGACTAGCAGTTGGCAGACTACAACCTGTGGGCCAAATCTAGCCCACCCCGGTTTCTGTAAATAAAGTTATATCAGAACACAGCCACGCTCATTCATTTATGTATTGTTGATGGCTGCTTTCCTGCTACCTGAGTAGCAGGGAACTGTATAGCCAGGACCCTAAATATTTACTCTGTGGCCTTTTACAAAAAAAGTTCAACAACCCCTACAGACCGTGAGTCTCAGACATGGTCAGACATCAGAATCACTCGGAAACTAAAATACTAATGGCTAGGCCTCACCCTTAGAGATTCTGATTTAATTGGCATGAGATAGAATCCCTTGGGATTTTTCAAGTTTCCCTGGTGATTTTTAATATGCAGCAAAGTTCAGGAACCACTGATCTAGGCTTCTCAGATGCTTTTTTCTCCCCTGGACACTTTGACATTCAAGGGTGGGATTTTGAAGTTCACTCAATTCTGACAGTTCACTCAATTCCACCTTCCAGCTTCCATGGCTCAGGTTTGGCAGCATGAGCTTTTTTTTTTTTTTTTTTTTTTTCCCTCTCGTTTTCCAAGATAGTCTCGCTCTGTTGCCTAGGCTGGGATGCAGTGGTGCCATCTCGGCTCACCACAACCTCTGCCGCCTGGGTTCAAGCAATTATCCTGCCTCAGCCTCCCAAGTAGCTGGGACCACAGGTGTACGCCACCATGCCCAGCTAGTTTTTTGGTATTTTTTAGTAGAGACGGTGTTTCACCATGTTGGCCAGGTTAGTCTCGAACTCCTGACCTCAGGTGATCTGCCCACCTCGGCCTCACAAAGTGCTGGGACTACAGGCGTGAGCCACCGCGCCCAGCCAGCGTGAGCTTTTTAAGTCTCCAGCGAGTCATGATTTCTGAGATCCTGAGCCGCACAGGGTTGTTCAAGTTTCATTGTAGAACAGTAAGGAAATAATTGCTATCTCTAACTCCCCCTTTTCAGGTGGCTGTGGCATTCAAGGCCTTGCACAAGCTGTTACCCATTCCCCACTGTACTCACCCATGTTTAGCATTCTTTAGAGCAGTGATTCTCAAGCAGGCATTCCCTAGAATTGCCGGTGGGACTTGCTGAAACCCAGGTTGCTGTCTACCTATGTTAGGAACTAAGAATTTTCATTTGTAACAAGTTTCCAGGTGATGCTACTTGTCCTGGGAACCACACTTTAAGGACCACTTTTTTAGAGCAGTGCTTCTCAGTTTTTTACTATGCATGGAAGTCACCAAGAGGTCTTACTAAAATGTAGGCTTTGGCTTGTTAGAGCTAGAGTAGGACCTGAGATTCTGCGTTTCACCAAGCTGCCAACCAGACTTTGACCATTTTAAGAGCAGCTTCTAACCTGGTCTTCCTGTCTTTGCATATCTCCATTCTGTCTCTAGATTCTGCCACTAAGCTTACTTTTCTAAATCACTGCCTTTATTGTGTTACCTCCCTGCTCAAAAACCTCCTATTGTTTCTAGGACAAGCCTGGGCAGCATGATGTTCAGGGCCTTATCCTGTGTGGTACCAGCCTGCCTCTCCACCCTCACTGTGCACTGCTTCCTTGTCTGAAACCTGGGTTTCAGGAAGCCACACATCTAAGTGGTCTGCGTTCAACCTATATTCATGCTCTTTGAATCTAAAACTTGTTCCTATTCCTAGATTCTTTCTCCTTTCACCATTTGTGTCTTAAACTTGCTCCTTTCAAATGCTGCCACTTCTTTCCTTCCACACCATGAAGGTGCATTGAAGAGTGAGTGAGTTAATGTACTATACCTTCATTCTGACCATCAAGAGGTGCTTTGAACCTGTTACAGTCCTTTGCACACAAGTCTGTGGAATATGTCTTTATTGTCCTTGTTTCTATTAGGTTATAAGTTCCTTAGTCTGAGCTTAAAACAGTTCTTACATAGAGCATATGACAGTATTATTTATTTTAGGCTGGACTTTCAGCAACTTGCACTGTAACTTTGATTCTTGCTTAGCTACCTTGTCAGGTTCCATTGCTGACCTGATTCATGGAAGTAGCCTTGGAAAGGAACTATTAAATTTTCAAAGCATTTGACCATCACTTGTAAAGGCCCTTAAGTACCAAACATGCTGCTCAGTAGCTTTCATGTGCACCTGTTTTAGTCATTCCCTTCAGTTACTGAATGAACAGTCCAATTACTTTTGACTCCCAAGTCCCCTTTAGCAGTCAATTACTTTGTGATCTTTATCATAGTCTATGTGCCTCACAGAAACTCCACTTGCTCTTCTATCTAGAGAGGTGCCAGTAACTTGACCTGGCGATCAGATGTCCTGGTGGAATACCAAGGAGAAGGCCGTAACGTCACTGACCCAACATGCCCTTCCCTGAGTCCTGGCGTATCTGTGAGTAATAGCTTGAATTGACTTAGACAGATTTCTCACTGACAACGTGGCAAGGTGCTGGTTTCCATGTGTCAAGTATTGAAACCTTTCATCTGAGTCCTCTTCATTTGTCACTGACTGTGAGTGGTTAGTAGATGGACAAAGGTAAATCCAGTGATCTTGGAAATGATGCTGCCGACCTGTCATCAGGATGTGCACTGTTAATTCTTCCAATTTATGTAGCAAGTGCATGTATCCACCCATGTTCTTATCAATTCCTCTTCCCTGTTTTTCTACCCCTCCCAATAACAGTACCAGTTTTTTTTAATTAGGGATATTACTGAGGCATGAAGTAGAGAGATGTGGTTCCTGCCTGTAACCATGCCATAATGAGTGCCTCACATTGGCGGCAGCCAGCCAGGTCACAAAGAGGGGAACAGCCATGTTGGCCTCACTCTGGAGAAGGGAAAATCGGCTTCCATTTGGAGTTGATTGATTCTTCTAACACCAAAGTGTTACAGTGTAATGAACCAACCAAAAGTACAATAACAGATCATATGGTAGACAGAAGTTAGATTTAAGTTGTACTTGGTGATAAAAACACTCATAAATAACTTACCTGCAAATGATTACGCAAAACTCATTTTAGCCTTCTCCTCCAACTTTTTAGGGTGATAGTTCCTAGTAGCTCTTAGAAATGAGTCATTTGGGCCGGGTGCTGTGGATCACGCCTGGTAATCCTAGCAGTTTGGGAGGCCAAGGCGGGTGGATCACCTGAGGTCAGGAGTTCAAGACCAGCCTGGCCAACATGCCAAAACCCCATCTCTACTACAAATACAAAAATTAGCCGGGTGTGGTGGTGCATGCCTATGCTACTCAGGAGGCTGAGGCAAGAGAATCGCTTGAACCCAGGAGGTGGAGGTTGCAGTGAGCCGAGATCGCACCATTGCACTTCAGCCTGCATGATGGGAGTGAGACTCTATCTCAGAAAAAAAAAGAGTCATTTGAGTTGATTTCTTCTCCTCAACTTCTTGCCAACCCATACATTTTACAGGTGCCCATTATAAGTAGTTCTTGTCAAGAGTTTAGCAGACAAGGATGGCAACAGTCTACAAATGGAACAACCCACATACCTTGATCAAGTTAGCCAAAGGAACAAAGCCTCACATCTATTTTTGAGTTACTGGCTTCTCCATGGAAGGTTTTCTAATTGCTGTCAAATTGCATGTCTGGCACGAGCCAAGCTGATTGCCCTTCTAGGCAACTAGGTATTTGTTACTATGGAACAACTGTCTTCATTTAAATTCTGAAATATCCCTACAGCAATGTTTCCCAGACTGTGTATGTGAAGATGCTTATAACAATACCTATGCCTGTGTGAGGACAATGTCAGCGTTGTGGAATTTGCAGTATTGCGAGTTTGATGACCAGGAGGTAAGAGGGACTTCTGCCTGCACTTCCCCCACTGCTTTCTTGCCGGTGCTTTGTTGGCTGGACTTGGTGGCATAAGATAGCAATTCCAAGGCTGCTCCCTCGGGAAGAGGTTGTGTTTCTTATCTGTGCTTCACTTTAGGTTTCCTTCCGTTGTAAGGCCATGTCTCACTTCTCTAATCTTTCTGGAGTTCTCTCCATTCCTACCACCACCCAAATGCATACTTTAAATGCACAGTTCATGTTTTCAGAATGATAAATACTTTGTCTGTTAGCTTCCCTGGTAGTTTGGAGTGAAAGAACTTTCACTTTTAAGTGAAGTCAACTCCACTTGAGTTGGAGCATTTCCTAGAAAGCTTACCAGCACCTCGTGTATTCAGAAACTCCTGTTCCCACCACAGCATAATCCACTGCTGCTCCAGTAGATTGGAGTAGGGGTCAGAGGCCCAGGAGTCCATTCATGGAAGAAGGTGGTTTTTGGCCAACACAGTTTGGTGTGGATTTATCTGAAGGATCCCATGGACTCTAGTCCCTTGTGGTTTCTTACTGTTTATCAGCATATGCTTACCTGCCCCATCTGGCAACCCTCATCTGACCATCTGGAACAGATGCCCATCTGTGTTTCTCAGAAATGGACTCATTCTCCACTCCATTTGCAGCTGATAAGCACTTTGGACAAGCAAGAGAGCTTCCCTCAAACTCAGTTCCTGTTCCCTGCTCCCCCATGATGTTTATCAGTTCGATAACTACTTTATAAGTGATAGTGTGAGAGCAGCTACCTGAAGCCATTATAGGCAAAATTACCTACCATCTTTCTAGCCTAACATTTGACTCCAATTTGGAGAACAGCATACAGATTATAGAGGGAAAAGTACTGCGTTAGACCTGTCTTATTTTAGAAATAATAATTAGTACTGTGTCCTTCCCCAGTATATCCACAACTACTTTTTAAAATAGGAAAACTTAACATTTGTATAACACAGGCAAGAGTACTTTCATATCCATTCTCATTTGAACTTCACAATTCTAGGGCAAAAATCACCTTTAAATGTTCGCTCTTGCTTTAGTAACTTTATTGCCAAGTCTTGTTTCTGAGACCTTGCCATTGGAAGCTCCTGCCTTCTGTTCTAATTACAGAAGATAATGCATTTCTTCCCCATACCCCTTCTTGCCTCTGCCTGAAGGCACACAGGCTGTGTGGCTGGAGACCTGAAGCAACTGAACCCCCAGAACAGATGCTCCCTCATCTCAAGGAAGCAGTGAGCTCTTTGAGGATCTCGAGACCAGATTGAGAGTCTCCAGGGCCTTGATTTTTTTTATCTACCTCCTCCCTTCCCACTTAGAAATAAATCACATTAAGAGTATTTCTTCACAGCTAACCTTGCTCTTTTCTTTCCTCCATTCTTTCGTGTCCTCTAGGTGTTTGTAGAAGTCTATAATCTGACTGCAGACCCAGACCAAATCACTAACATTGCTAAAAGCATAGACCCAGAGCTTTTAGGAAAGATGAACTATCGGTTAATGATGTTACAGTCCTGTTCTGGGCCGACCTGTCGCACTCCAGGGGTTTTTGACCCCAGGTAAGTTTCCTTTCTCTTCATTTACTTGGCCAAGTTTTTTGTAGTAGTCATGCTGTTCTTGAAGGCAAAGGGAGCCCTTTTTGCTGTGAGATGATGATTATTCTGCTTTGGAGGGAATACTGTGTTCTTAGTGCACCAGCCTGTTGTGCTGGGAAAATAAGCTTTTGAAACTTTTGTTCTCCACTGCCAGTTGGTGCTTTAGCCAGAGGTACAGCCCTGCTCCCCACCAAACATGGGGCTCTTCTTTTCCTGCTGTGATTATTGTCATGGTACTACTTGATTGCACTGGTGACACTTGGGGCTTCTTTAAGTAAGCTGCGACCCACTGCTGCCCTGTTCCCTAGAACTTCCGAGAGTATATGTCTTCATTTCATTTCTCAGAAACCCCTACTACAGAAACTTGAATGTTTGCTGGTGAATTTAAGATATTAAACACACAATGAAAATAGAAGGTATAAACTCAGGTGTTGAAATATATAAGCCCACTGCACGATATGGAGGTATAAAGGACATTTAGCTATCACCTGTTAAGTCAGATTTGTTCCCCACACTGTCCCTCTTAGTAAGTTTTCAGCAGTAACACTGGGTGTCAGTACACCATGCATGGAGCTGCTGGTGGCAGGAAGCTTGTTATTTATCTTTTGCTTGAAGATCATGAAGTTTAAAAATCAAACTTTCCCTGGGAAAGGAATATTTTAGTTCTTACCTTCAGAATGTAGGAGAGGGAAGAATGATGTCCTAAGTTGATGGAAACTTATCACTTAATTTTTTTAGCCATCTTTAAATTTTATCTTTAGTCCAAATTAGAGACAAATGAATGTGAATGAGTAGAAAAACTCGATGATAGACTATTCATTGTTTGCTTTTAAATAATGTATATAATGCCAAAGTGGCAGGGACACCAGTAAACTAAAACCAGATAACAATATAAGGAGATAATACTTATCATTATTTTATATCACTTAAACAAAATAACTGTTTTTATATGGATAATCCCATTAATACAATAAGAATGGTCGTGGATTTTGACCACCCGCTTTGGTCTTTCCTCTAAATTAGTGAAATAGGTCCTAGCTTGGTACAAGTTACCTGAAATAGGAAGTCCAGTCCCGAAAATAAAAGTACAAGACTTCCAGTTTACATGTGTTGACTTTGCAATTTCCAACAATTACTTAGCTCAGAGTGTCCTTTTAAACCAAATTAAGTTAGATGTCAATAGCAGTTAATGCTTTTTAACCATTTACTCTCTGGCTGACTCTGTGAACTTAAAGCCAGCATCTGACTAAATCTTAAATGGAGGGTCAAGGAACTGGACCTCTTGGATTATGATGTGTGGCCAAACAGTCCCTGACCATGCCACTGCTAGGACATGGACCTGCCTGGCTGGTTGGCCAGTGCAAGGTGGATGCAGCCAGCTGTCTGTTTCTTCTGAACATCTGGCTCTAAGTGTTAGAATTCATAGAATTTTCATACAGCCCTTAGAGCCCAAAAAGTAAATTTCAAATGAGGAAATTGAGCTTGCAGTTGTGATTTGCCCAAGGGTCACCCTATAAGGAAGTGAATACATTATTTCCTAAGCAAGTTTTGTTTGGTTTTGAACTGCAACAAATTGTCTTCCTCACATTTTAGAACTTTATAACTAAAGTTCTAGATGCTTGCTTTGCTGATGTTAGCCTGGACGACTTAAACTTAACCTGATTTTCTGTTTTAAATACCTTAGCCCTGATTATTCCTTTCCTATCAAACATTTGGGCCTGTTGAGTCCTCCAAGATGGGGTCATCAGATATTGTGAGCCAATCTAGCCCCACCTGCTGGAACACAGCCTCACACATTCTTTTACCTGGTTTTGGCTGCTTGTGTGCTTCAGCAGCAAAGGAGAATGGTTGGGACAGAGACTGCATGGCTCCCATACCCTAAAATATTTATTATCTGGCCCTTTACAAAAGATGTTGGTCAATTGCTGTTCTAAAATGCAGTAGTCCCCCGCTTATCCACAGAGGATCTATTCCAGAACCCACAGTGGATACATGAAGCCCCAAGGATAGTGCCAGGCCCAGTTGCCATCAGTCAGAAGATGTTTCCATTCGTGTCTTCTACCATCAAATTTTATGCCTTTTCCATCTTAACTAAGCTTTTGTCATGCACTGTGGCCCTAACTTTTGCAGTTTAAGCTGTGGCAGCCAAACTAGAATTCTTTTTTCCTTCTTCATGATTTCACAGATAGAAGATTCATTCTTGGCTGGGCGCAGTGGCTCACATTTGTAATCCCAGCACTTTAGGAGACCAAGGCATGCAGATCACATGAGCCCAGGAGTTCTAGACCAGCCTGGGCAATATGGTGAAACTGTCTCTACAGAAAAAAAAAAACCAAAAATTAGCCAGGTGTTCCTATGTTGCCTATGTTCCTAGCTATTCTGGAGGCTAAGGCAGGAGAATCACTTGAGCCTGAGAGGTGGAGGTTGCAGTGAGCTGAGACTGTGCCACTGCACTCCAGCCTGGGCGACAGACTGTGACTCTGTCCCCCTGACAGCCCTCCCACCAAAAATGACTCATGCTTATGGTGAGTCTGCTGTAGGTCTTAGCAGTCTCACTGTACGATTTTTTCTTTCCTTATTAAGTCAAGAGCATTCACTTTTTCACTTAAGGGAATCACTTTATGGCTTCTCTTTGGCATTTCTGAATTGGCAGCACCACTACTCTTGTGGTTTGGAACCATTATTAAAGAAAATAAGGGTGACTTGAACACAAGCACTATAATAATGCAACAATTGATCCACCCCTACTCCCTCAAAAGAAAAAAAATCTCAAATCTTGCTGCCTTCTGACACCTTTCAGGATTAACCTACTTGTTTTTCTCCTCTTGACTTGCACTGTGTGACTTTGTGTGTGCTGACTGGTGATGAAAATGTTCGGAACTGTCAAGGGCTCATGTTTTGTACCATAGACTTTCTCACTAGAGTCCCTTCTGGTGATTTGCTTCTTTTACACCAATTCGTGCTATCCTTTCCACTGAATAATATTCTGAGTGAGAAACTAGCGAGAGCTAATGTTACATTTGGTTTTTCCTCCCCAGATACAGGTTTGACCCCCGCCTCATGTTCAGCAATCGCGGCAGTGTCAGGACTCGAAGATTTTCCAAACATCTTCTGTAGCGACCTCACACAGCCTCTGCAGATGGATCCCTGCACGCCTCTTTCTGATGAAGTGATTGTAGTAGGTGTCTGTAGCTAGTCTTCAAGACCACACCTGGAAGAGTTTCTGGACTGGCTTTAAGTCCCGTTTGAAAAAGCAGCGCAGTCGGCTGACTTCGTCGTGCAATGTGTTAAACTGTGAACTCTGCCCATGTGTCAGGAGTGGCTGTCTCTGGTCTCTTCCTTCAGCTGATAAGGACACTCCTGAGGTCTTTGCTCTCACCATATTCTTTTTGTCCTGGGGCCACAGTTCTTGATTATTCCTCATGTGGTTAAAGTCTGAATTTGTAAATCCATTCAGATAAATGGCAGTACTTTAGGGGACACACACACACACACACACACACACACACACACACAGATACACAGATACACCTTTTGATATATAAGCTTGACCTAAAATCAAAGGACCTGTGTAGCATTTCAGATTGAGCACTTCACTATCAAAAATACTAACATCACATGGCTTGAAGAGTAACCATCAGAGCTGAATCATCCGAGTAAGAACAAGTACCATTGTGATAGAGAAGTAGAGATACATTTTTTTATGATGTTCATCACAGTGTGGTAAGGTTGCAAATTCAAAACATGTCACCCAAGCTCTGTTCATGTTTTTGGGAATTCTAGGCTGGTGCTGCACTGAAATAGAGCAGTAAGCTTGTGATAAAGGCCAATTCCAGATAGCTCTTGAAGGTGATAGCCATCTACTTTGCAGTGGCTGCCAACCACAGGGAGTGCCGGTTAACCCTGGAAGGATTGAGCAAGGTCTCTTCTCTTGAGACTCCCCTCTGAGATCTGAAAATAAAGTGGCTTAGAAACATCAGCAGGGAAGAACTGTCAAGAGTTGGTGAGGGTTGTCTCTTATAGGGTGTTCTGAAGACAGGGCTCTTGAACAGACAGGTGGAAGGGCTGTACCGGGGATAAAGGAAGGAAGTGCCTGTCCAGCAGGGAGCTTGAATTTCATTTCCATGCATGAAGTCGTTGGCTCTAATCTGCATTTTTCTGCCTTTCTCTTCATTTGTTTCAAGATGGAAAATTTTCTTATAGTTGGTGCAGAGTATCAACTACTTTACCCTACCTTCTCCCCTTTTAGATGGGTTCTTCCTGAGTTTTGGAGTATTGTTAATTATCAGTATTCCCCCTGGCAAAATCAAATCTATTCAGGTTTCTTCACTGTTGAGAATATGTAAATTTTTTTATTTTTGGCGGGGGGTGACAGAGTCTCGCTATGTCACCCAGGCTGGAGTGCAATGGCATGATCTCAGCTCACTGCAACCTTTGCCTCCTGGGTTCAAGCGATTCTGTCTCAGCCTCCTGAGTAGCTGGGATTATAGGCACGCACCACTATGCGTGGCTAATTTTTTGTATTTTTAGTAGAGACGGAATTTCACCATGTTGGCCAGGCTGGTCTTGAACTCCTGACCTTGTGATCCACCCACCTTGGCCTCCCAGAGTGCTGGGATTATAGGCGTGAGCCACCACGCTTTGCCGAGAACACCTAAATTTTTATGTTTCTTGACTCAAAAACCAGTTCCATTTCTAATGTTTTCTTCACAAGAAGGCTAATTGGTGGTGAGACAGCAGGGGAGGAGGAAGAGCTGTGGTTTACAACTTGTTCAACTCAGGCAATAAGCGATTTTAGCTATATTTAAAGTCTTCTGTCCAGCTTTAAGCACTTTGTAAGACATGGCTGAAAGTAGCTTTTCTATCAGAATTGCAGATAGTCATATTGGGCTAATAGCCATTGGATTTATTCCTTTACCTCACCTGATCCCAGCAACTGAGGTGGTATCTAGAGGTAAAATAGGCAAGTGAAATGGACACCTCTGCTGTGAATGTTTTAGAAGAGGAAATTCAAAAAATGTTGTAACTAAAAGCAAACTACATTGTTGAATATGGGTATCGGCTTTCTTTTTCACTTTGATTCTTTATCAGTCAACTTCCACGTTAATGAAAGTTGACCATAGTTATTTCCAAATAAAAAGAAACCAACTCTTACCAGGTCTTGGACTGTGATATCATTCAGTTTTTTGCTGGTTATTTGCAGATTATTCAGTTTTATGCTGGTTTCTAAGAGCAGAACTCATACGAGTGACATAGTCAGCTGCTGACAGCACCTCTGCCACGCCACTCTTACGCTCAGTTCAGTGGGTGAGCTTGCCTGGTGGGGTGTGGTGCGGCCCTGTCTCTACGCTCTTCTATTTTTGGTATATTTCCTGTCTAACCTTCAAGTAGCTTTCAATTCTGCTTTTTTTCTTGGACTGGCTCCATTCTGAATCTGTGCTAAAATCTTTCGTAAAGAGACCTCAGTTGATAGCGTAACAGACTACACAATGCACTGATGTTTTCATAATGTTTTAGGGACCCACTGCAAGAAGCTTGCCTCCTCCTTTTAATTGTATTCATTTAGATTTTGATTTTCCATGTTAAGAAGGTGAGGTCCATGTTGGTGCCCTTCAGAATAGAGAACCATATAAACATTAGGAATGAACAGAGGCCTTAGGAATGAATAGAGAGTTTGCCTTATACGATTTCCTGTTACTAAGCTCTCCCTCTCATGCAAAGTAGGGAACACCTTTTGAGCATCTTTGGATTTGACAAACGGTGCTGTTGCAAACACTCTTCTTTTTTTTGGAGATGAAGTCTCGCTGTTGTCACCTGGGCTGGAGTGCAATGGCATGATCTCGCCTCACTGCAATTTCCACCTCCTGGGTTCCAGCAATTCTCCTGCCTCAGCCTCCCAAGTAGCTGAGATTACAGGTGCCTGCCACCATGCCTGGCTGATTTTTGTAACTTTAGTAGAGACGGGGTTTCACCATGTTGGCCAGGCTGATTGAACTCCTGACCTCAGGCGATTCACCCGCCTCGACCTCCCAAGTGCTGGGACTACAGGTGTGAGCCACTGTGCCCGGCCCGCAAACACATTGTAATTGACAACAGTAGGGCTCTTGTACAAAATAGTCATGATGGCCATGGAAGTTTTACCTTATTCTGTGAGAAGTGTTCTTAAACTTAAGTGTCTAAACTAAGGTTTAGTGCTTTTTTAAAGGAAAGTTGTCCCAGGATTCATACTAAAGAAAGCAAAAGTTATTTCAACTGATCCACCAGTGGAATTAGATGGGTAGAGTTAGGTTCTTGAGTTTTATCACCACTTAGTTCCCACTGAATTTTGTAACTTCCTGTGTTTGCATCCTCTGTTCCTATTCTGCCCTTGCTCTGTGTCATTTCAGTCATTTGACTTAGAAAGTGCCCTTCAAAAGGACCCTGTTCACTGCTGCACTTTTCAATGAATTAAAATTTATTTCTGTTCTAGTGGGAATGTGTCCTTTGTCTTAGTTCACAAATAGTAATTTTGATAAGATGCTTTCTTCTGATGCAGTTGGTTTTAATCACTCACCTAGTACTGGAAATGGGCTTTCTAGTCAGATCCTATAGTCTCTATCTGTATAGCTCTTACATACATGGCCCCTACTGATTGATAACCCCTGAATGAAGTACCATGTAGAAAATATTTCCTGATAAATCTTTGTGTATTTACAGCTTTGGAGAAAAAGTCTTATTTTGCCTGGCTTTGAAACAGACTAAGCTCGCCTTCAAAGGTGGTTTACCATGTGATCCATTGCTCTAGATGAGGAATGACTTCTTACGGGGTCAGCAAACTTCTTAAAGGAATAGACGGCCAGTATTTTAGGCTGCCAGGCTATGTGGTCACTATCACAGCTACTTACCTTTGCTGCTGTAACACAAAAGTAGCCATAGACTAAGTGTGTGACTGTGTTCCAATACAATTTTATTTTCAAAAACAAGTAGGTCATAATTTGCCAACCCCAGAGCTTATAGGTTGCCTCATATCTTAGCAATTCTGAAGACCGCATAGAAAACAATGTTAGACACTCATAAAATTGCCAGATTACTATCAGAAAAACAGGTGATTTGGGCCAGGGGCAATGGTTCACGCCTTTAATCTCAGCACTTTGAGAGGCCGAGGCAGGAGGATCACTTGAGCTCTCTGGAGTTGGAAGACCAGCCTGGGCAACGTAGCAAGACTGTCGCTATAAAAAACATTTAAATTGTAAAAATGAAAAATAGGTGATTTGGGTATATCACAATTTTAAGGTCATTTATTAGGTTCTGGGATTTGTACTCTTCTTGCAAGCTAATTAAGTAGGTCTGTTATTTCATGAGACTCCTGGAATAAAGACAAAGGACTTTAGTACAGCACAGCAGGCAGTAAGAGCCTGTCAGTTCACACTTACACCCAAGTCCTACAGGTACAATGCAAAGGGCCCAGAGGGATGCCTGCACATGCAGTGGGTTTTGTTACAGGAAAAGAACATTAAGCTTGGGGAGCCTTCGTCCAGGCTGGAGTGCAGTTGTGCAATCGTGGCTCACTGCAACCTCTGCCTCCCGGGTTCAAGCGATTCTTGTGCCTCAGCCTCCCGAGTAGCTGGGATTACAGGCACACACCACCACGCCTGGCTAATTTTTGTATTTTTAGTAAAGATGGGGTTTTGCCATGTTGGCCAGGCTGGTCTCAAACTCCTGACCTCAGGTGATCCACCCGCCTCGGCCTCCCAAAGTGCTGGGATTACAGGTGTGCGCCACCGCACCCGGCTGAGCCTGTTGTTCTATAGCAAGCACTCAGTGAGGCTGCTCTTTGTTCCAGAAAAAGACATTAACTTACCTGCTCACTACAGACAACGCTGAGGAATGTCCAGCATAAAAAGTGGTCAGCCTGGCCAACATGGTGAAACCTCGTCCCTACTAAAAATACAAAAATTAGCTGGGCGCAGTGATGCGTGCCTGTAATCCCAGCTACTTGGGAGGCTGAGGCAGGAGAACTGCTTGAACCTGGGAGGCGGAGGTTGCAGTGAGCCAAGATTGCACCACTGCACTCCAGCCTGGGTGACAAGAGTGGAACTCCCAAAAAAACGGCCAGGACCTTGCATTCTTGGCATATCCAGCAAGGAGGTGCAAGGCTCCTTGGGGTTCATAGTGGATTGCCTCTCCCAACAGCTGTCAGCTGTTGAGTAGCAGAGGATCACCTGGCCAGATGTTTCTTCCCCCTCCAGAAGGGCTAGAATGCTAGATCAGGCCAAAAATAGCAATTGTAGACCTAAATGCCTAAGTGAGTTTTTTTTGTTTTGTTTTGTTTTGTTTTTTTTTTTTTTTTTTTTTTTTTTTTTCAAACCTGGGACCTAAGGCCAAGAAACATGGGAAAGAAAAATGGGTGCTGCTGGCCTTTCAGATTTCAAGACAAGACATCAAGACCTTAAAGTGATGAAAAGGGAAAGGATAACAAGGTTAAGCATCGGGTCAGATTTAGTTTTGAGAGCTACCTCGTCTGGTCTTTGTCTAAATACCGAGAAAGGCGGAAGAGAAAGGAGAGTCCCTGTGATCACTGACCAAATAGAAACGCAAGATGGTACAGAGCACCCATAAAGTCACTAAATTACCATCCTAAACATTGGAAATTTGATTACATCACAGTCAAGCCATCAACAAGGAGGAAGAGAATCTTCACTTGCATAGACTCAGAGTGAAGATACAGACTCCATTAGATCCATTTTTTTTAGCTTATCCCAGCTATTCCCACTGAAACGACCCAGCCCTGTAGAACAAAATTCCCTACAGAAGTGGTGTTTGTTTCATCTTTCTCTACCACCAGTGGATTTAATTTATTTTTATTTTTTGAGACAGGGTCTCGCTCTGTCGCCCAGGCTGGATGCAGTGGCCCTATCTTGGCTTACCACAACCTCTATCTCCCAGGCTCAACTGATCCTCCCATCTCAGCCTCCCAAGTACCTGAGACTATAGGTACACATCACCATGCCCAGCTAATTTTTGTATTTCTTATAGAGACGGGGTTTTGCCATGTTGCACAGGCTAGTCTTGAACTCCTGGGCTCAAGAGATCCACCTGCCTTGGCCTCTGAAAGTGCTGGGATAATGGGCACGAACCACTGTACCCAGCCACCACCAGTGGATATAAAGGGCTGGTCATATGTGTACACGAAAGTCTGTTGAGGCGAGAGCTGACAACCAGAGAGCCCAAAGGATACAAGCTGAAAGCATCGTGCTGAGATCTCTACTGATGGCCTAGAATCACTGAATAAGACAAGATTTAGATGTGGGACACGGGAGCTAGCTCCTGGAGTACGGTAGAGTAGATGACATTTCTAAATCTTTTTTTTTTTTTTTTTTTGAGATAGAGCCTTGCTCTGTCGCGCAGACTGGAGTGCAGTGGCGCAATCTCAGCTCACTGCAACCTCCACCTCCTGGGTTCAAGGGATTTTCCTGCCTCAGCCTCCTGAGTAGCTGAGATTACAGGCGCCCGCCACCATGCCAGGCTAATTTTTGTATTTTTAGTAGAGATGGGGCTTCATCACGTTGGCCAGGCTGGTCTCCAACTCCTGACCTCGTGATCCACCTGCCTCGGCCTCCCAAAGTGCTGGGATTACAGGCGTGAGCCACCGTGCCCGGCCTTGACAGTTCTAAATCTTAGTCTTCGAGAGGAAGATTTCATGATCACCTGCTGGTGAGACTGATACCCGTATATGTCATCGTAACCCGCACCTCGAACTGATGACAATAGGTTCTCAAAGGATAGAGAGATACAAGGATGCTTGTAATTATCGTTTTAGGGGGATAAAAACAGCTCCATAAGATAGATTTATTTCCCTCAGCTTAATTTATCCAAACTCACAAAGCTAATTGTCAAAGAAGAGTCAGAATTTCAAAGATGTGGTTTCAAAGCCATCTTTCCATTAACTCTGTTGTCACCATGATCTGTGAGGCTGTGTCCCCACCTCATCATATGTGCGAGTGCCTACTCTAACTGGTGGTGAGCTTAGCTATGAAAGGGAATTATTCTGGCCGGGCGTGGTGGTTCACTCCTGTAATCCCGGCACTTTGGGAGGCCGAAGCGGGCGGATCGCGAGGTCATGAGATCGAGACCATCCTGGCTAACATGGTGAAACCCCGTCTCTACTAAAAATACAAAAAAAAAAAAAAATTAGCCGAGCGTGGTGGCGGGCGCCTGTAGTCCCAGCTACTCAGGATGCTGAGGCAGGAGAAAGGCGTGAACCCGGGAGGCGGAGCTTGCAGTGAACGGAGATCGCGCCACTGCACTCCAGCCTGGGCTACAGAGTGAGACTCCGTCTCAAAAAAAAAAAAAAGAAAGGGAATTATTCCATTCCTCCAGGATATTATTATGTAGATTGAAAAGACAACTCATCTCTCATACCTGTACTTACAGGGAAACTATGGTTTCAGACTAAGATGAGAATGTACCACTGCCATTCAAGTGTCTTCTTGTCCTGTGCTACAGCCTGGCTGGCAGAAAACAATTAAAAAGAGGGCTCCTCTCTGTATGCCTCATTTAACTGCTTCCAGCATGGCTGTGGTAGCCAGCCTCCAAGATGGCGCCTAATTATCCTTGTGCAGTTTCCTCCCACAATGCATCAGGGTTGGTCCATGTGACCAGTAGAATAGGGCACCTGTGATGCTGTGTGACTTCCACAACTAGGTCCTAAAAGACATGGCCACTTCTGCCTTGCTCTCTCTTGGATAACTCTGGGAGAAAACTACTGCCATGTCAATGACAACAAAGTAGATCTTTGGTGAGGTCCACGTGGTGTGGCAGGTGGATCACCTGAGGTCAAGAGTTCGAGACCAGCCTGGGCAACATGGTGAAACCCCTTCTCTACTAAAAATACAAAAATTAGCCGGGCATGGTGGCGGGTGCCTAAAATCCCTACTTAGGAGGCTGAAGCAGGAGAATTGCTTGAACCCGATTGCACCACTGTACTCCAGCCTGGGCAACAAGAGTGAAAGTCCATCTCAAAAAAATAAATAAATAAAAATTAAAAGCTAAAATTAAAACTGTGCCCCCAAAGGATTAAAAAACAGTAACACTCTTTAATTTACAAGATAGCATATTTTAAATGAAAACTAGCTAACTAGATTTTGCATAGAATGAGTCTGCTGACATCACAGCCTGAATTTCCACTGCATGTTTCATATGAACGCCCCAAATTTGCACTTGTCACCCATGAGCTTGCATAAAGAAATAACTACATGCACACAAGGACTTTCCAGACCTCAATTTTCCTTCCACCAAGCACCTGCTAATCTACCCCCAAACTCCTTTTTGTTTTTTTGTAGAGATGGGGCTCTATGTTTTGGGGGTTGTGCAGGGGTGGTTTGAGACACGGGCTTGCTATGTTGCCTAAACTGGAGTACAGTGTTGTGATCATGGCTCACTGCAGCCTCAACCACCCAGCCTCAAGCAATCCTCCTGCCTTAGCCTCCCG